ATCAATTTAATGGTAAAAAAATATGAGAATTCAAATTAGAGACTGAGGATTCAAAAGGAAGCAAAAGATCTGTCAAAACATAAATGAAAAAAACTGAATCAATCCTAAACCCTATTGACCACTCCTAGCCTAGGAGTTCTCAAATTGATGGGTAAAAAATATGAGAATTCAAATTAGAGATTGAGGTTTCAAAGGGAAACAACAGATCTAATAAAAGATAAATTTAAAAAAAACTAAACTATTTCAATAATACCATTTTGTACCATGAGTTAGGGTTGGCTTAGGCAAAGTCTAGGAGTGGTCAGTTTGATGGGGAAAAAAATATGAGAATTCAAATTAGATATTGAGGATTCAAAGTGACACAAAAGATTTGCTAAAACATAAATGAAAAAAACTAAATCATTTCAACAATACCAATTTGTACCGTGAGTTAGGGTTAGCTAAGGCAAAGGTTAGGAGTGGTCAATTTGATGGGAAAAAATATTATACTTCAAATTAGAGATTGGGGATTCAAAGGGACACAAAAGATCTTCTGAAACATAAATTCAAAAAATTGAACAATTTCTACAATACGAGTCTATACCATGAGGTAAGGTTGGTTGGGGCAAAGGATAGGAGTGGTCAGTTTGATGGGAAAGGATATGAGAATTCAAATTAGAGATTGATGACTTAATGGGACATAAAAGATCTGCTAAAACGGAAATAATAAAAAAGGAACCAGTTCAACAATACCAATGTGTAACGTGAGCTAGGTTTGGCTGAGTCAAAGGCTTGGAGTGCTCAATTTGATGTGAAAAAATATCATCATTCAAATTAGGGATTGAGCATTCAAAGGGACACAAAAAATTTGCTAAAACATAAATGGAAAAAAACTGAACCATTTTAACAACACCACTCTATACCGTGAGTTAAGGTTGGCTGAGGCAAAGGCTAGAAACGTTCAATTTGATTGGAAAAAATATGAGAATTCAAATTAGAGATTGCGGATTTAAGGGACACAAAACATCTGCTAAAACATAAATAATAAAAAAACAGAACTAGTTCAACAATACCAGTCCACACCGTGAGCTAGGGTTGGTTGAGGCAAAAGCTAGGAGAGGTCAATTTTATGGGAAAAAAATATAAGAATTCATATTAGAGATTGTAGATTCAAATGGACACAAAATATCTGCTAAAACATAAATGAAAAAAATTGAACCATTTCAACAATACCGGTACGTACAGTGAGCTAGGGTTGGTTGAGGCAAAGGCTAAGAGTGGTCAATTTTATGTACCGTGAGCTAGGGTTGGCTGAGGCAAAAGCTAAGAGTGCTCAATTTGATGGGAAAAAAAATATCTTAATTCAAATTAGAGATTGAGGATTCAAATGGACACAAAATCTGTGTTAAAACATAAATGAAAAAAAATTGAACCATTTCAACAATAGCACTCTATACCATGAGTTTGGGTTGGCTTGGGCAAAGGCTAAGAGTGGTCAATTTGATGGGAAAAGATAAAATTAAAGGATCTTACCTCGGAGAAGATTGGAGAAAATTTTATCCCTAAAGTGATACAAAATTAGGATTGAAACCATAATTCGATCCTAAATAAGTGTTGTCATTTTAAAGGGTGGGCTAAATAGGACCAAAACACTCAAATAGGACTGAATCCTTAATTCAGTAATAAATCATTGTTATAATATGGATTTAGGCTAAATAGGCCCATAACATAGAAAGTGGATTAAAACCTGAACGTATAGTTCATGAACCTAGAAACACAGAATATGTAGGCGTGGAATTTTGCACTGAGAAACCAATTAACCCATCAAACCTGACCAGATTGATATATGTGGTCTGATTTATGGTGCAATTATTCCCATTCGTCGATTTTTGACAAAATTTTGGATGAAATTTTAAAAGGATAAAGTGTCATTCTACCCCCTGAACTATTACCCTTTTCAAACTTACCTCATTGGATTATTTCGTCTGCCAATTTAGCACTTAAACTCATTTTAAATAGCCAATGTGGCACCTACTGTTAGATTTTTGGACATTTCACCCATGTTGCCTTCTAAATAGGCATGTGAGGGGCACATGGTTCTTGTTTTAAGGTCATTATAGTCATAATTGTTTTTTTATTAGGGATTGCCTCCTTCATCTCGTTCATTTGTCTCCCTGTTTTTATTGTCACCAATCTCCTCGAACACTGCATCATCATGTTCTTTCTACTTGCTATTGTTTAATAGTACACTATACCATGAGAGCAATTGGAACAACCACAGGTTCATAATTTCGAAAGGGATCTCTAAGCTACATTGTGAGAGCAATTATGAGGGTTAAGGGGTTAAAGGGTAAAATTTGAATTTGATGGCTTATGTGGCAATTTGATACTTCGGAAAAAATTTAACTCCACCCGAAATGCCAAATATCATTGTTGGGGTCTTTTTCCGTTGGAAGACTCATCCTGTCTTATTGATTCTTGGACCGCCATAGAGTGGTGAATCAAGCCTTTGTTGCCCCTTTTTTGCAAGTCTCAAGTGAGTACTTTGTTCTTCTTCCAGCGACTGCGTGTTTTGTGCGGATGTTTCTGGCAGCTTGACGAAGGGTTTAGGGTTTAGTGTTACACAGACTTGGCATGAGAGTTTGCTTTGTGAATTAAGATACTACTAGACTAGGCATGAGAGGTTAGGTGTTTCAGATATGGGATTAAGCTTTTTTGAGAGAGAGAGAGAGAGAGAGAGAGAGAGAGAGAGAGAGAGAGAGAGAAGAGAGAGAGAAGAGATAGGTGGCTTGAGTAGATTTCCAGCAGCTTGATGAAAGCTTTGTCAAGCTCTTGGGTGGCTTGCCAGAAGAGAAGAAATAGAATAACAGAGCTTCAAATCGAAGGGTTCCAGAGGTGAGTGGTGATGTTTGCTCTCTCTAGATGTGTTTATGGGAGGGAGAGGAAGAATATGGAAGAACACGGCTTGAGATTAAAGCTTCCAGCAATGAGTAAAGATGTTGCTTGCTATGGCTGAGTTGAAGATGACTTGCTAATGTTGATATGAGATTATATGAGCTTGGAGTGTGGGAGCTAAAGACCCACAAGTTTAGCAAATGAGAATGCTTGTGCTTGGGTTGGTGTTTGATATGCTTGAGTTTGGGTGTTGAGAATTTATTGTTTGAAGCTATGGCTATGGTGGTTTGATTGTTTGGCTGTGATGGTTGTTGGGATGCTTATAGCAGTCAAATGAATGGGGTTTCAAAGAGCATGGTTGAGGAAAGAAAAGCTTAAGACTTTGAAGGGTATGGTGTTTATGACAATGATCCTAGATAAATTTATGAGTTCTAGAGGTGGGAGGATAAAAGGAAAAGCTTGAGGCTTGAAAGCTATGATGTTTTATAGCTTGGAAAAAAGGAAAAGCTTAGAGTAATGCTTGGTGAGGCTTTGCGGAGAAGATGATGGATTTCAAGGGTGACAAAGTAGAAGACATGGTTGTGATGGCCGAGGAATGGCTGGGATGGCCCCTAGAATGCTTGCAGCAGCTGAATGGAGGAAGGAAAGTGGTATGGTGGTTGCTAAAGGGGGTTGATGGCTGCTGGAATGCTTGCAGCAGCCGAGTGAGGGAGTGTTGGCTGAAGAAAAATTGGTGCCCTTTGCTTGAGACATGAATGCCAATTTATAGAGGGTGAGGGTTTTCCTTTATTTCCAATAAGTAAAGGGAGGTGCTGGAACCAGCCTATTTCCAATGGTTAAAAGGGAGCACTGGGACATGCTATTTTCTAGCAGGTAAAGCTAGGTATCATAAACTGATTATTTCTTATGGGTAAAAGGAAGCACTAGAAACTGCTTGTTTCCAGTGGGTAATAGGAAGTGCTAGAAAAGGCTTGTTTCTAACGGGTAAAGCTAGGCATTTGGAAAATGACTATTTCCTATGGGTAAAAGGAAGTGCTTAAAAAATATCTCATTTGCTCACCCACATTGGAGAACTCTAAGTAATGGGCTTGGACTTTGGTGCTCCTAAGTAGCTAGCCCAAAGTCTCCATTATCCGAGAGTTTCCGTGGGCCTTATGTACCTTCATAACCTTCAACACCACAATCCCTCATGCAAGCCCTGTAAACCACATGACTTGGGTTCATGTGAGCTTGATAGGTGATTGGCATGGGAAAAATGTATTATTAGTTTGGCATGGCATGTACACTATTTCTATATTTATTTAATGAATTAAATCTCAAAATACAGCTTGGATTAACTCATGACCGACATTATATGTTATATTGGGCTTTAAATGTCTTTGGGCTTCCCGCGACTTTTTTGGGCCTCAACAATCATATTATTATATTATATTTTTAAAAGCAAATAGGGCCATATGATGCATAAATTTTTAAAGAGAGTAAATGATAGTGGAGTCTATGACTAAAAAATATTTAAATAATAATTAACATCAAGTTTTTTGATATGTTATTTTAGACATATCTCTTACAGCTTTCAAATTCATGTAGGATTTGACTACTCGGTTTGAGCAACTTTAACCTTCAATTTTTGTCATTTCATGTCCATGTGGCAATTTAACATATCAGTTGGAGATGCTCTTAGCCCCACAAAATCCAACCCTAATGCGATTTGGGAAAAAATGACAGAAAGGATCAACTTGGAAGGACCATAATGTCCCCAACAAACAAAGCAAGCATTTTAATGGATATCTGGATGAAATTCTCAACAACGAAAAAATCAACGGCGGGTACTACATTGGCTATTTTAAATGAGTTCAGGGGCTAAATAGGCAGATGAAATAATTCAAGAGTAAGTTCGAAAAGGGTAATAATTCAGGGGGTAAATGGCTAAAAATTCATTTTAAAAGGCAGATGATAGGGCTAAAATTGTAAGATTTGTAAATTATGGGGAACATAAATAATTTTTTGCCTTCTATTTGGTCCGCGTGTGATTCACCAGACTTTTCACCAAACTTTTCAGAGAGAACAGACTGAGACCCAACTATAAAGCAAGTGCTTTCCTTATTTGTTGGCAACTACAAGTAGGAATGGCCAAGAAGGACTGCTTGAAGGAATATGGAGAAGCTGATGAAGTCTCTCGCAGTGACTTTCCTCCCAAATTCGTCTTTGGTGTTGCCACTTCTGCATATCAGGTTAGCTGCACTTCAGTTTTAATTGATTACTTTCATTTGTTACAAAGTATGATCTGGGACTTATTTCCTTATACTTCCTACATCGCGTATGGGTTTTTTTTTCCGATCAACTGGTGATAGGATTCAAAATAGGGAATACCACTAGACCAAAAGGGTGAACTCTGCTTTTCTTTATTCTATTGTGTTGACCACTTTTCTTTTCATAAAATTGTTGTAGAACAGAGAAGTTATTTTCTTTTCCGGGTTCCTTCTGTTAGCTACTGATTCTGATACATTTGAGTGCTTTCCGGAAATTGGTCAATGAATAGTTTTTATTTTATATTTTATTCTTTATAATTACAAATTTAGCCATCTTCAGTTCTTGTTGCATGTTCTTGAGATTCTTTTCTTGTTCTAAAATTATACATGTTTGGGTTTTGTCACTTTTTAATGCAACGGTTTGGCTGATGAATTTTACGCTTCTTCAATGCAAAAACATTTTTGTTGTCCTATGTACTCGAATAATAAAACAGAAGAAATTAAGAGAAAAGTTATCACAACACCCCATATTTGATACGGTCCAACACAATTTCTTTGGCCTTGACAAACGGCATCTACTGCATCTGAATTACCCTCCTCGGCCCATTCCTGTATTGTCTAATAAATAAATGTAAAGAAAATATTTCTAGTAGCTTATTAATGTTGATAATGTGCTTCCATATCAACTTGGTTTCATAATGATGTATTTTGTTAGTTTCCTTATTGTAAATTTTAAGAAGAAAGTTTGCACGTTTGATAGAGACGTCAATTATAACAATGCATCAGGCTATTTTCAAGCATATTTTGCAAAAGAAAATAACTGATAACAGAGTGTTTTTTTACTTCTGTTTTTCTTTTCATTGTTCCCTTTTGTGCCTTTCAGTAGTCTAATGCATTATCTTGTATTTTAAACTTCCAAAAAGCTCAGAGTTCAAGAAATTTTCTCTTCTTCTTGTTTATTTGTAGGTAGAGGGTGCCTGCAACGGAGGCGGTAGGGGTCCTAGTATTTGGGACGCTTTTTCACACTCAAAAGGTACCTTTTCTTCATCAAGCTTATGATAATATCTTCTAGGACCAGAATTTTGCTTGACATTGTCAAATCTGATACTGTTTTTGGTTATGAAATTTATGATGTTTGTCTGGATTCATTAGGGACAATCATTGATGGAAGCAATGGTGACGTTGCAGTGGATCAATATCACCGGTATAAGGTTAGTAATAATAATTTTAGCCACAGTCAAATTTTTTTTTTTTTTTTTTTTTTTTTTTTTTTGGTCTTCCAGATCAATGCTATCTTCCCAAAACTGTTAGTATTTGCAGAGTTTTCAATGTATTTTCTCCATATTTATGTTGATGGGGAAGAATGAGTACAGATGTATCCATTGTGTTATGGCCTAGTCTGTTAGTAGTCTTTTCCTTTTCGAATGGCTTAGAAGAACATGATCAGATTCTTTACACTTACCCATTCCTTCATTCTAATCATGTAGTTATGCAAGTTTGGGATTTCAATTCATGCCGGTCATTTAACATGAATCATAAACCATTTAATGCTAAACAGGAAGATGTTGAACTCATTGCCAAGTTGGGATTTGATGCTTATCGCTTTTCCATATCATGGTCGCGAATATTCCCTGGTACGCGACCCTTTGGTATCTTTCATGGAGTTCTTTCTAATGGTAAAAAGAGTAGGATATAATCAAATTAGATTCTGTATGGTTTTATGTTTAAAAGAATTACTTTGTCACTATTATTCCCTTCTTACAATGGCATTTATCTGGTCATTTGACTCTTCTTGACATCCTGCCTCTGGGAAGTCATCTCTAGATTTAAATATAGTAGTGCATGTGACTTGAATGGCGACTTGTATGATTGCTTCTTCTTAGCGTATATAGGATATAATAAATACTCGACAAATTGACATGTCTAAAACAATTTCTAGATTGAAGTGATCTGTCACCAATTTGGAAAGCTTGAATGGACAATGTTGCAATTATGTTTTGACGACAATTTGATAATTGATTCTTCAAGACAACTGAAGGATAGTTGTGGAAAATGTTTTCTGAGTTGTCTATTTAAAGTGGTAAAAACATTTTGAGATTACAATGTGACATGTTCTAAGCGGATATACCCAAGCACAGAATTCAGACAGGGACTTCAAAAAGTTTTTGAACTGTATGTGCATGTTCCATTTTATCTCTTGGCTAATAGAAATTAAAGAAGGTATTTATGCTCGTCGTGTCCTTTATATGGAAATCAAAGGCCAGGGGACCATTCCCTTGACTCAGCTTAATTTTGATGATGACTGTATATTTCTTATGGTTCTGTTTTTTTTTCTTTTTTTTTGTGCAGATGGTTTGGGAACCAAAGTCAATGAAGAAGGGATTTCTTACTATAACAATGTCATTAACAATCTCCTTGAAAAGGGTATGAATTTGCTTACATTCATTTCCTTCTAGTTGCATTGATGAACCATATTCAACAGTTTGTTCTTGCAGGTATCCAGCCTTATGTAACACTGTACCATTGGGATCTACCCTTGTACCTTCATGAGAATATGGGAGGGTGGTTGAATAAGAAAATTGTGTAAGTAATGTATCATTTAATTATCTATTTTATTTTATTTTTGCAAATACCTTGATATCAAATAAGTTTCTCATGTTGTTTTTATGTAAAAAAATCTTGTGAAAAAATTAGTTTGCTACATTTCATTTGTCAAAATTGCAAACGTATAGAAATTAAAGATCTTGTGAAGGAAATAGTTTGCTACATTTCATTTGTAAATATTTCCAAACTTAGACATTTTGAAGTATTTTCATCTCCCTTTGAGTGTATGTCCAGAATTTTAATCCTAGTTTTGGGTGAATGCTCTTTGAACAATATGGACTACTGAGTGTGTGTGTGTATATATATATATATATATCTATCTCAAGCATGCACCCTCCATGTGCAGCCCCATCCTACAAGTAGAGAGCTAGAAATATGTTGAGAGAGAGAGAGAGAGAGAGAGAGACATATAGGTGAATTTCCACCCTCCACCTTACAAACCAACAATGAAGTGGAGAATGGAGATTGAACTCGGCACCTCTTGCAAACCAAACTCTAGTCCCATGTTAGACAGACTCACTGATGTAGTACAGCCCATAGGTGTTAGATTAAGCACGTAACAATAGAACAGAGAAAAATATAAGAGACCAAGGAGAAGAAATAGAGATCGAAAAGACGAGATAAAGGACAGAAACAGTAGAACAAAGAAGAATATCGGAGATAGAGGAGAAATATAGATCGAAGGGACAAAATCAGAGAGTTCTAGGAAAGGGTTTACTCAACATTCAAATCTGAATTTTAAAGAACCACATGGGGGTATTTATAGCAAACTAAAACCTGGACATAACAGGATAAAAATCCCTTGCTTAAACAGAAATTCTAACACAAATAAAATAGGAAACTTAAAACTAGAAATTAGGAAATCTGGAAAAGTAGAAATCCTACTAGAATTTGGAAAACTAGAGAATCTAGGAAACTAATAAATTTAGGTCCTACGCATCCTGGATCATTCTCTCCCGGCAAAAAGAACTAGACTCCGATGAGTAAACAACCACAAAAGGTAAATTAATGACAACAACGCCGACTGTAAGTATGAATAATAGGGGACGAGGGTCAACAATCATCAATGTCTGGATCATAGACACCTTCGAGAGGCCCCACAATCTCACAAAGCTCACTAGTGGGAGTGTGGATAGTTAAAGTTCATTGCGGACAACGAGAGGCAATATGTCCTTTGGCATGGCAATGGAAACATTCAATGCAAGCATTAGTAGAAACAGCCGGTCCTTTGTGAGGTGGTGGTGCAGGTGGGTTAGATGGTCCTGAAAACCCCGTCTGCATATCCGTGGTGGGAAGAGTTTGGTTGGCGGTTGTAAGTTGACTAGAATATCCTGAATGTTGTGGTGACAAATGTCTCAGCTCCCAAAGCTTGGCACTAGGCGTCCTCCAACACATCCAGACGTGACCTACTTACCTCATGTTTGAGATCATCCCCGAGGCCATGAATAAGACGAGAAACTGTAACTGCAAGCTCTTCCTGCACGGCATAACACAATTTGTGCTCCACAAAGCGGGAATAATAGTCTTGGACTGTTGAAGTACCTTGGGAAAGAGTCCATAATTGATCTAACAATTGGTGATGATAAAAAGATGGAAGGTATTGTTCTCGGAGTTTCAATTTCATCTCATCCCATAAAATCACAGGGATTTGTCCGAGCTGTTGAAGATGGTGCTCGGTAGCCTTCCAAGATTGCTTTGCGGCTCCTACTAGTTTGATTTTGGCGAACCGAATCCGTTGTGCATCAAACATATCATACCATTCAAAATAATCTTCCATAGCCGATATCCAATCAACAAAGAGTAGTATCCCCGCAATCATCGAAGTCGGGAGCAGTAGGCTTAGCATGATGGGCGATCTCAAAACCCAAGTTTCTGTGGACGACATTCTGTTCTTTGGGTCGGGGTGGCAGGGGAGGGATAGTGGCGTCCACCAGAGGAGAACCCATTGTATGCTGGGTATAATGTGGTCTAGACGCAGATCCTGCGGAAAAAATTGGTTCGGACCGAACCATAGATGTCCCCCCAGAAGAGGATGGGAAGGAGACCAGCCTGTAGAGACGGTGTGGACGAACTGGAGAGAATAGCGGATGTGGAGGATGGTTCAGGAGTCGCGGTTGAGATGTGGTTGACGAGCAACGTCACGGAAGCTTGTAACTTAGCAATATATGCGGACATGGACGAAAAATCAGCCTTGTGATCAGCCATCAATTTGACAAACTGATTTTCCAAATTGGTGAAATCTGCAGAAATTTTCACCTTGAATTCCTGATGTTGTTCAGCCAAATTGGCAACGGTGATGTTGGGAGCCATGACGACCAGTAAAGGCAACGAATCAGAGTAACAGCGGCGAAGCAAGAGGCTCTGAATACCAATTGATGTAGTACAGCCTGTAGGTGTTAGATTAAGAACTTAACAATAGAACAGAGAAGAATATAAGAGACTGAGGAGAAGAAATAGAGATCGAAAAGACGAGATAAAAGACAGAAACAGTAGAACAAAGAAGAATATCGGAGATCGAGGAGAAGAAATAGAGAATGAAAAGACGAGATATAGGACAGAAACAGTAGAACAAAGAAGAATATTGGAGATCGAGAAGGAATATAGATCGAAGGGACGAAATCAGAGAGTTCTAGGAAAAGGTTTGCTCAACGTTCAAATCTGAATTTTAAAGAACTACATAGGGGTATTTATAGCAAACTAAAACCTAGATATAACAGGATAAAAATCCCTTGCTTAAACAGAAATTCTAACCCAAATAAAATAGGAAACTTAAAACTAGAAATCAGGAAATCTGGAAAAGTGGAAATCCTACCAGAATTTGGAAAACTAGAGAATCTAGGAAACTAATAAATTTAGGTCCTACGCGTCCTGCATCACTCACTAGCCCCAAAATCCTAAGTCGTTAGGAATGGGTCAACAATGTATATCAAGCTTACAATATTATGAATCAATCCACTAGAAGCTAAAATAGGTCTCTACCTTTTGGAGCTCAATCTGTATGAGTTACTTTTATTGACCAACCCTACATTGCTCTTTCTTTTGGCCAACCCTGCATTGCTCTTTCTTTTGGCTCTTTGTATCACTATTGTACTGCATGAGAGAAAAGCAAGTTTCTGATTAGTGTTTATATCAGGGTGACTAAATTTTAGGATGAGGCTTTATGGTGTGTGCTATTTGCAGATGATATTTCTTTGATTGGATAAACCAGAGCAGGGGTGAATGCTAAAAATTAGAGTCATGGAGAAAAATTCAATCAAAATAGGTATAAAACAGAGTACTAAGAGAATACAATTATAACAAAAGAAGAAATGCAAATGTGGATGTGCAGAAAATTGAGGGTCAAAAGAATCCCAAAAGCGAAGATGATGTGGCTTATAGTAACTAACTCATATGCAAGAAGGTTAGGTGGCACCTGTTGGGGATAAAATGAGAGAGAAAGGACTAACGTGGTTACTACATTCAATGAAGATCAATGGATGTGCCAATAAGAATATTCCTTTTAGTGTGATTATTCTTGATTGGTGGGGAGTTTTGTACTGCGGGCTTTCTGGCATGGTGCTCCGTCTGTTGGTTTATTTTTTCTCATTGGGCTTTTGTGTTTCTTCTGCTGTATTAGGTGTTTTATGGACTACTTGTCCCCATGATTCTTGTATTCCTTATGTTTTCTCGTAATAAATCTTATGCTTCTTATCAAAAAAAAAGAAAGATGAACCAAGTAGAAAGAATGACTTAATCATTTGAGAGGGTAGTGCCAAGAGAAGAGAAGACAAAACACTCAGTGATAATACTCTGGGCCGCAAGAAAATTCAGGGTCTTATGGCTAATTTGAAAGGTTCTGTTATGGGCTACAAGTTGTAGCAATCTGAAAATCATCGACAATACAGCAGTTTGCCTGCATCAATAATAGCAACAAGGGAAATCAAAAATTGGTTTACAATAAAAACCTTCATTACTTTCAAGGAAAATAGAAATTATAGTAATTTTCTATAAACATTTATGTCATTGTTAAACAGTGTCCTCGTAGTCAATCGGATTTTTTGAAAATGCAGAGACTACTTCTCAGTCTACGCTGACACTTGCTTTGCAAGTTTTGGTGATAGAGTAAAGGACTGGATTACAATTAATGAGCCTCTTCAGACTGCCATTAATGGTTATGATGTTGGGATATTTGCTCCTGGAAGACATGAATGTTCATCAACAGAACCATATTTGGTTGCACACCACCAACTGTTGGCCCATGCTGCGGCTGTTTCCATCTACCGAAGCAAGTATAAGGTATACTGTTCAATTACTTTTTTTATCGCTCTCACTTGGAGATTTTCATACTTTCACCATTACAAATCATGGTGTCTTTCTCCTTGTTACTTTTTTATTATTGAAGAAGGTCCTGGTTTGTCATTGACTTCATCACTTAATTTATTATAGGCCAGATGTTGTTAACAAGGAAACTGATATATCAGTCGGCATTTCAGTAATTATGTAGCTTCCTTTTGTGTAAGATTAGATTGTGAAGAAGAATTTCACGAATATATCTTTTTTCTGTTCAAGGAGAAATGTCAATTTTAGTGTCTCCTTGCATAAACCTCCTAATGTATGAGTTGTAAATCCGTTCTTGATATACTAATTTTTTGGATCACAAGAAGGTGGAACCTTATGGGAAAGTGCATGAAGTCAGCTAAAGAACTGAAGAAACAGTGTGTAACTCTTCTTTAACTGACTTACCTGAGATTTTGAAATGATTATATATGCCAATATTTTTTCCAGGGTGGGGGAGGGGGCCGGAGTTGATGGTGTGTTCTGTTAGGAGGAAGTGCTTATACATTTACCCGAAATTGACATAATTCGTTTATGAGTTTCAAAGTATACTCTAAAGTAGAATTGATGTCATATGGGAAAGCATAAAGGTAAAAAAGCATACTTGAGAAGAAAATTTGATTACAAGAACTTATTGAAATTCCTATGCTAATCCCCAAACTCTAGCTTTAGATCTCTCTATCACCTTTTCTAGCTCTCTACCCCTTGTGTGTTTCTTACTTGCAAAAACAGAACTCCGAACAAGCCTATTTATAGAGATCCTAAATTACTGAGGATACCAAAGGAAAAATGATTTCCTAATTCTAGTAAGAAATCCTGCGTGCACCATTCCTTTTAGCCAGAACTTATTTTTTTTCCTTGCAGCACCTTCTGTGGGGACTCATGAGAAAAACCAGGATGACTCCTCTTCCAGCACCTTCTGTGGGGATTAGATGAAACTTAATGTGATATTTTCTAACAAGGATAGTATTCGTAGAAGCTCCTCCATTTCAAGTTGTGAAAATGTGAAGAATATCCCACATTGGAAAGTTGAGAAACCTAGCAAGGGCTTATAAGGAGTTGGGCTACTCGTCCCATCACCAATTGGTTTTGGGGTGGAACCTCAACTTCCTTCCCAAGTCATTTAAGTTTTTACACAAACCAAAATCCCAACGAATTGGAGAAGAATTTAGGCACATTGTAGCAATGGGAGCATTATGAAAGACCAAAAGACAAGGATATGGGATGTATAAAAGAATTCCATGGACAGCACACACCTCGAACCACTGACCACACTCTTGGAATCACAACCACTGTCATGTTAGCAGCACTTACTTAATAACCATATCACCATTTCCCAAGTAAGGCAATATTTCTTCTCACCAAATCACCCACCCCTAAGCCTCTCTTCTCTTTGATTCTGGACACTACTTCTCACTTGATAAAATGCTCTTTTTCCTTCCTCGACACCTTCTCACAAGAAGTTCCTCACTGATTCTCAAGCCTCTTTGCCATTTTCATGGAAATCTATAAGCGAGAGGTAATAAATGGGTAAACTACTAAATGCAGATTGAATTAAGTAAGCCTTCCTCCCCATGAAAGGAAAGCTTCCTTCCAGCCTTTTCTCCATCTATTCCACTACCGGATCCCAAAAACAGTTTTCCCATGGGTTACCAACAAGTGGTAGCCCCAAGTATTTCAGTGGCCATTTCCCCACTTCACATCCCAATTATAATATTTTGTTCTTACTCTTGCTGCTATTTTTTGTCCTTTCAGGACAAACAAGGGGGACAAGTGGGCTTGACCGTCGACTGTGAATGGGCTGAGGCTAATTCAGACAAAATTGAAGACAAAATTGCCGCAGCTAGGCGCTTAGATTTTCAGCTTGGATGGTAATTACTCATTCCCTAATTATTTACTATTTGGTCACAGAACTACTGTTAACAAAAAGTTTACTATCTTCTATGTTGAAATTACCAACACACTAATGTGCTTGATTAAATCATCCCTAAGGTGAAAGTACATTCAAGAACTTATGTTGTTTTTTAATCACTTGGAGAACCATCTTCCATATTTCCTACATTGGTCAGTGTGAGTTATTCAATCCAAGAGACTAGGCCCGTGATAAATGACCCAAAAAAAAAATAGAAATCCAGTGTTCGAAGCTTTAGAACTACTGAGCATATCCATCATTTTCATATATCATGCTACTCATACCGATTATCTTAGGACTCCCATCAACTTGAAATGTAACATAGCTGTCTTGCCACTTTTGGTTAGAAGTAAATCATATTGAAACATACATTCTGGTTAAATCCTTATAAGATATGATAGCTATGCTGAAACACATGAAACAGCAGATGGGCTGCACTGTTGAATGGGTGTCAAATGAGTTTAGCATTTTCGAAGGCAAAAAATTCACACTGAACTGGGTTTTTCTCAGTACCTTTCTTTGAGTTCAGCTCTGCCCACTGCCTACCCAGGCAGTTTGTTAGATGAAATCAAATGGTTTTCTCTCCTGTAGTATTGTTTAGAATCCATCTCAACTAATTCCAAAGCAGGTTCTTAGATCCAATATATTATGGAGAATACCCCAAAGCTATGCGTGAAAGACTTGGAGATCGGCTTCCCATATTCTCAGAGGAAGATAAGGAATTGCTTAAGAACTCATTAGACTTTGTTGGTCTGAATCACTATACATCAAGATTTATTGCTCATGTAAGAGATGCCCCCGAGGATGGTAATTTTTATAAATCACAAGAGATGGAGAGAATTGGTAAAATTCTGTAACTACCACATCATTCATTTTCAAAGCAAACAATTTTCTCGATCCTTGTTTAATGTTCTCTCTTTATCATCAGCTGAATGGGAAGGCGGTGAGGCTATTGGTGAGAAGGTATGAACTCTCTCATGCACACACATTCCACTTACTGTGCTGCACACATGTGCCTTATAGGGTGTTTCCAGTCTACTGAAAGATTTTGTGTTGCAGGCAGCATCAGAATGGCTTTATGTTGTTCCTTGGGGCATCCATAAAGTTCTGAATTACATAGCAGAGAGATACAATAATCCAGCAATATATATTACTGAGAATGGTATGCATGGAGAGACTTTCCTAGGAAAATAAAATTGATTTGGAATTTAAATTGTAGTTTAATCTCACTTGGGAGCCAAGGAGTACATTCAGTCCCTGTTTGGTTAACGATTGGCTAATATTGTCCTTCTGCATTTACTTATTGTATAAACAAAATATAATCCAGAGATAAAGTCATAATTAAAATACTTCTGATTATTGATCTGGAAAATGACTTAATGCACCCTTGTCAGAAGTTGGTACAAACCATAGGAGTTTGCACTTATTCTACGTTATGATTTTTTTAATTTTCTTTTTTCTGAACCCTTTTACAGGTATGGATGATGAAGATAATGACACTTCCCCACTTCATGAAATGCTAGATGACAAACTGAGAGTTAGTTACTTTAAGAGATACCTTTCAGCAGTTGCCAATGCAATAAGGTAGGTCGACTTCATTTTGTCCATTTTATCATATTCTTTCTTTGTAACGGTGGGTGCACTAATTGTTCAGTCAAATAAAAAAACCATAAAACGCTCTACTGCTGCCGTACATATCTAGGATTTTTCCCTTGTGTCACCGCTATTTTTCCTAAAAAAATTTCTACTACCGCCACACCTCTCTAGGGTTGTTTACCCTGCTTTTGTGTTGATTCAGCCTTCTAGACCTTCATCAAGGGTATACTGACTTTGGTGTTGTTACCTTTAACCCTAAACACAAAACCCAATTCTATTGCCAATATGTCTACTTTTACCAGCGAAACTAATCCTTTTGCGCCCTTGTCAGAGACACCCACTATTAGCATTCAGCAAGACATTGCTTCCTATCCCATCAACGTCAAACTGTATGGGACAAATTATCGCCTTTGCTCCATGGTTTTGGAGATGCATGTCGCAACTCGTAAGATATATGGTATATTTCTGGAACCAAAGCTGCACTCGATAAGTATGAAGAATGAGTGGTCGAGGATGCCTTAGTGAAGTCATGGCTCATCAACTCCATGCATGCCAATCTCCTGTTGAACTTTATTCAATGTGAAACTGCATAGGATGTGTGGGTTATGGTGAAAAAGGCCTATCATGATGCTTCTAACTCTTCTCAAATCTATGAATTGATGTAGTCCTTTCAACTTCGACAAAATGGTCGGCCCTTATCCACTTAGTTTACTAAGATGAATTCTCTCTTTATGGAATTGGACTATCGTTGTCCGAATGATCTTGAGAATCCATCCGATATTGCTAAATTGAAGAAACGTACCTCTGAAGAACGTGTCTACATGTTTCTTATTGGTCTCTATCACAATCTTGACCAAGTGTGTAGTCGTGCGTTGGCTATTGTACCTCTTTCTTATCTTAATGAGGCTTATGTCATGGTGCATCGGGAGGCCCAATGACAAGTTACTATGACTGCCTAGGGTTCCATTGAAGCATTGACTCTTGTGACCAAGAAGGCTCAACCTCACCCAATTCCCGACTGGTCCTAAATCCAACTCTTCTAGGTGTACTTACTGTAATGGCACAAAGCATGTGAGGGAAAATTGCTGGAAATTGGTGGGATATCCGGGGTGGTTCAAACTAAAACAGGCTGCTCGCAAGGATAATTAGAAATCCCTAGCACATTTAGTCTCATCGGACTCCACCAACAGCCATTGCCTCTCAAGTTGCTTGTTCCTCAACCGTTACAAGTAATATAGGTTGTGCTTTCTCCTCTTCCTCTACCCGGCCTTGGATCATTGACTTTGAAGCCTCGGATCACATGCCCAATTACTCTTCTTGGTTTGTCGCTTCTACCACACCTCATCGCAGCTCAGTTAAATTTTTTAACGGTGCTCTTACTTATGTTCAAGAAGCTGGTTTCCTTAAATAATTTGCTTTATGTTTGTCAAATTACCAAACAATTAAATTGTTTTATAACCTTCTTTCCCACTTATTGTGTTTTTCAAGACCTTCTCAAGAAGATGACAATTGGAATTGGTAAGAAGGGTGATCTCTATTATTTTGAAGAAACTAACTCTGTTGGCCATGTGTCTCAAATTGATGGGGATCATACATTAGAACCATATAAGATTATATTATGGCATCACCGCTTAGGACATCCATCTTTCGTGTATTTTGAACGCTTATTTTCTAGTTTATTTACAAAGGTTTTGAGTTCTAGTTTACGGTGTGAACATTGCATTTTGGTTAAGAATCGTTGTGTTACTTTTCAATCTTCCTCCATTTAAAGTGAACAATATTTTGCTATTGTTAACACTGATGTTTGGGGTTTGTTTTCTTCTCCTACTTCTGGTGCCAAGTGGTTTGTGTCATTTATTAATGATTGCACTAGAGTTTGTTGGATTTATCTTAGGAAGCGAAAAAGTGATGACTTCTATACTTACAAAATTTTATCGATTGATTTGTACACAGTTTCGGGCCCAATTTCATATGTTTCGTTCTAATAATGGGAAGGAATACCTCAATCATACTCTTGCTAATTTCTTCCATCAATATGGGATTCTCCATTAGACGACATGTGCGTATACTCCTCAATAAAAGGGGATCGTAGAACCTAAGAATCACCATCTACTTGAGGTGGCCCGATCCTTATGTTTCACTATGCAGGTTTCGAAAAAGTTTTGGGGTGATGCTATCATGGTTGCTTCCTTTCTTATTAATCAGATGCCCCCTCGTGTCTTGGATTATCAAACTCCTTTTCATATGTTGTTTACCTTTCATTTGATCCCTGATCTCTTTTCCTTGGATTCTAAGGTGTTTGGATGTGTCTGTTATGTTCATATTCACTCGATCCACATTGACAAATTGGATCCTCAGGCTCTCAAGTGTGTTTTCTTGGGCTACTCTTCTACCCAAAAGGGTTACAAGTGTTTTCATCCTCCCACGAGCAAGTACTGTATCCATGGATGTTGAGTTTCAGGAACACACTTCTTATTTTTCTCAGGATGTCCCCAATTCTCCCCCTTCATGGGGAGCATCTAGTACATTTGGAGTTTAGTGATTATTTGATCGAGTTACTAGTTGATGAGATTTTGGGCTTGAATTAGAGTGGGGCAGATTTATAGACAGAGATATTGAACCTCAAGGGGAGTCACCTTTGGCTGTAAAGGGAAATGAGAATTCCGAGGTTCTCTAATCTCTTCCCTCTTTTTCAATTCATGTGGTCTACAAAACATATCAGAAGAGAAAATTTCGGTTGATATTGTCTCTAATGAAGTTGACGAAGTTGATTCTGCAACTAACCCTTCTTTTGATACCACTCCTCTATTCCAATCAACTTCCCATGAGCATGCGTTTGTAGTAGCACCATCTGAGGTACAAACATCTAATCCTTCTCTTGTCTGTTGATCCTAATAATTCTGAGTCTCTTTCTTTGAACTCGATTGGTGACGATCAAGAGTGGAGATGCACATCCTGCATAAGGAATAAACCATATCATTTTGTTTTCTCCTCTAGTAACTATGTTACTTTCCTTACTTCTGACTATGTGTCCTATTATCGTCTTTCTAAATCTCATCTAGTCTTTGCACTTCAGTTGACTTACATGTCTTCCTAACTCTTTTCAAGAAGCTCTAGAAGATTCAAAGTGCAAATCTGCAATGGTAGAGGAAATGAAGGCTCTCCAAGCAAATGGTACATGGGATATGGTGAATATTCCTGATCAGAAGAGGACTGTAGGTTGTAAATGGATGTTTACAGTCAAGCATAAACCATATGGATCAATTCAAAGGTACAAAGCATGGCTTGTGGCCAAGGGTTAATACTCAAATTTATGGAGTGGACTACTTGGAAACGTTTGCTCCGGTAGCCAAGATGAACACAATTTAGGTAATCTTATCCCTTGCCACAAACTTGGATAGCCCATTATGCCAGTTCAACGTAAAGAACGCCTTCTTACGTGGAAACCTACAAGGTCCTCCTTTAGGGTTTGCACCAAAGAAGGGAAAAAGGACTTCATGGTCTAAAATAGTCACTAAGAGCTCAGTTTGGCTGATTAAGTCGATCTATGAAGGATTATGGGTTCAAACAATCTCAAGTTGACCACACTTTGTTCATAAGCATGGTGGTGACAAGATTATTGTGTTAATTGTGTATGTGGATGACATGGTGGTTACAGGAAACAAAACACGTGAGATTGAAGTACCCCATGTTAGCTAAAGAGTTCGAGATGAAGGATTTAGGAACTCGCAAGTATTTCTTAGGAATAGAAGTATCTCGTTCTAAGCAAGGGATATTTTTATCTCAACGCAAATACATCCTAGATCTCATGGCCAAGAGTGGCAAGTCAACGTGTGAACCTGTTGACACCCCAATAATGGTGAACCACAATTTGATAATTGATCCAGGGCAAGTATCAACAAGGAGAGATCAACGGCTAGTTGGGAAATTAAATTATTTGGCTCACATGATTTGTCATATGCAATTAGTGTGGTAAGCCAGTTCATGCCTAATCCAGGTATTCAGCATCTGGAGGTTGTAGACCATATAATTCAGTATTTGAAGTCATCTCTTGGTAAAGGAATCTTGTTCTCTAAGAATGGAAAGTTGGATATAGAGGGTTACACAAACTCTGATTATGCAGGATCTAAGTTTGATAGGAAGTCTTTATATGGTTATGCGTCATTCGTAAAAGGCAATCTAGTAACTTGGAGAAGCAAGAAACAAATTGTGGTGTCTGTCTAGCGCGGAAGCTGAATATCGAGCTCTTCATCATGCTATGACACAGTTGATTTGGTTGAAGATCCTAATGAAGGAACTTGGATTTGGCCCTATGAAACCAATGGTGTTGTATTGTGATAATACAGCAGCCATTAAAATTGCTAATATTCCTATCCAACATGACACACCAAACATATTAAGATTGACAGACATTTCAAATATTGTGAACAGCATAATTATTGTGCCTCACATCAAGATAGCAAACCAGCTAGCTGACATGATGACACTTGCAGTTTCTAGCAAAGACTTCCATACATCACTATCCAAGTTGGGTGTGTGTCATATCTATGCACCAACTTGATGGGGAGTGTTGGCGTGATACATTAGGTTTAGGGTTTATTATTTAATATAGTTGACTTTGTATACTTCGTACATCTTATAAATACCTCAAAATGAAAAGAATAATATCATTTGATTCATTCAAATTTCTAGATAGGGTTAGGCTCTGAAAATATGCATGTGTACAATTGTTTTTTTCTTCACAGTTTGTGATATTTGGAATTCCCCTGAAATATAAAAATCTAGAGAGTTGGTGTGCACTACGACTTTGTGGATGTGAACTATAAAGGGTCGACTTATCTGTCTTTTGTCTCTCTGTCTATGTGAAAAGCTCAAGTGGGTTCTCTCATAAACACATAGAAACAACAAGTGAAGGCAGAAGAAGAAGGGTGTTGCTTAAGGGTGCCGAGGCTGAAGCTTCGTTGCCGACTAGAGTAGACTATGTTAGGAGTGTGTGAGAGAGATGGAATAGAAGCTTAAGGGTTTCCATGGGTCTTTTGGCGTCTATTAGGCTTTTCGTAGGTAATGTTTTCGTTTCAATATGAGAGAGAGAGAGAGAGAGAGAGAGAGAGAGAGAGAGAAATGGGGGGTATTTTGGCACTTAAAAAATTAATATCGGTATTTTCGGCATTAATGTTACATTAAAGGGAGTCAAGTGTTTCCCGTGTTTTGTCCTGCAACGCTTTTAAGAATAAGCACCTCTCAAGTGCTTCTTCCAAACCCACTCCAAGTGCTTTAGGATCTCACCCAAAACGCTTTTGCAATTTTTGCCAAACACCATTTTTAAAAGACAAGCGCTTTTCGCTGCTCCTAAAACACTCTCAAATGAGCCCTGTCACATAGATGGATTACTAGGAGACACGTGGGTGGCTGGGACCTCCTTACCCACACGCTGGTGTCATCAAATCAAACTGAAAACGTTCCACAAATGGAAGTCGGGTTTGTAACGAATGGAAGTAACCTTGGATATTATGAAATTCACCCCCTTAGGACCTAATCCCTATGCAAAATGTCAAGAAAACAATTTTATTGGTAGAAAAAGGGCACGAATCTCTATTTAAATTCACCAGTAAACTTATCTATTTTTCTAGTGGAAATTGTAAATGGGCATAGACATAGAGCCAAATAGATGAAGTAGCCCAGCAAATAGGTGTGACTTGAACCTTTAGGCCTCGTTTGTTACACAGTACTGTCTTGGCATGGCTTTGCTTAGGGACTGTCTTGGATTGGCTTGGCTTGGTTTAAGTTGGATTACATTTGTCCTACGTTTGGTGTATGCTTGAACTAGGACTAAGTTTATTATTTTTAAAATTTTTAAAAACATGGCAGAATTTATTTTTATTTTTTTTTTAACTTTTCTTCTCTCTCTGCATCTCATTCTTCTTCGTCTCCTCATCCGTCTTCTCCATCCTCTCTCCTTCTCCTCTTATTCTCAGTCTTTTTTTTTGCTTTTTCTTTTTTTTTTTTTTTTTTTTTTTTTTGTTTTTTTTCTCCCATTTTTTTTCGTTGTCGTCGCCTATAACCCTAAGTTCGAGCTATGAAGTCCTCGTCGTCTGCCATTGTTGCCAACCGAAACCATATGGCTGAGATGGTGGTTTTTCTTATCATTTGAGTTTTGAATGGAAGTCAAATTTTATACTTTTGGATTGGGGCTGAGTTTTGAATGGATCAGAGTTTGAATGTTCTTGGAGTTAGGTTTCTAGTCATATTTTTGTTGTTTCCCAGAAATTTGATGAAGGTATGTATGTTACACATACAAGAATATGAGATGCATCTTCTTTCTGCTAGTTATTTTTATTCTGGCTGCGTTGGTGGGAGGTTTGTAACGGTTGCAAGCGTTCGAGGATAACGAGGGACTATTTGTCCCCCATCTACACAGACTTCAGTAACACCACTTAAGAGGGTGTTTTTGGTGGGACCAATACTAGTAATCCCACTTAAAATTAGTGCCAAGTAAAACAAACATGCAATAAAAAGTTAGTACAAGCCAGTCCAAGCCTAGAAGGTGTACCAAATAGGCCTTTACAGCTAAGTGAGAACTACTCCAGTCATACAAATTCTAGGTTGAGTCCTCTGACCACAGGACTGATCCCTTTAATAATTATCCTAGACTTTCCAGAAGGACCCCTTTTTACCATACCACATTAATAACAACTAGTTCCCAAGGCAACATTAATAACAGCTAGAGAGACTCTTTAGACTCCCAATAGAACATTAATAACCAATAAACAAACTCCCAATACATAATTAATCACAATGACACAGACACTTTGTAAATTTTTCTAGGCATCTCTCAAAAAGTGCTATACCCGTACATGAGAGTTTCTCTCCTCTCAAAAGTCTTGTAAGATCTATTTACTGCATCAGAAAGACTAGACATAGATGACACATATGAAAACTCACAACGTAGCTTCACTTGATCAAGTTTTCTTCATCTTGAGTGTGCACTCTTTTTTATTTTATTTTTTTCATTTTGCACTCATATTTTACCAATGTGTGAACATCGGTGTGCAAACAATGAAATCCTATCAGGTAACAAGAAAAAGCATTGCTGTAACATTTTTCCTGGACAGGGATGGAGCAGACGTGAGGGGATACTTTGCGTGGTCATTACTGGATAACTTTGAGTGGGCTCAAGGCTATACCAAGCGTTTTGGTTTAGTTTACATCGACTACAAGAATGAGCTCTCTAGGCACCCAAAATCTTCGGCCTACTGGTTTTTGAGGTTCTTTAAAGGTGGTGAAGGGAAACATGACAAGGAACAGTAATGGAAAATTTAGCTGACAACTGCCATCCATGAGAGGGACTGCCCAGGAACTTTATCTTTCCACGTACCAACTTAAACTGCTTGCTGCTTCTATTGGTTTCAAACCAATGGACTCCCCTGGAACTCATTTTGAGCTTTTGTAAGTCACCCCGAAGTGTATGTACTAAAGACATTTTTATCCCTGAATATGTCAGTGTGTTCTTCATTCATCTCGGAAACATATGATCGAGTTGACTGACTCTTCTATCTCCTTTTCTTCCATAATGAATTTGACTGTATTGTCATTGACAATTTTATGACCAGAGTTAATAGTCATAAGAATGTCTAGTTCACAACCTTATGAGCACAAGGTCTACCCCCGCCCCACCAATGCCCCCACCTATCTACCCATCTATCACTGCCACTCCAATCCCCCAGCTCTGCTCATCTTCTCATCTATCACCAGCCAGAGCCGCACCCACACAGCCACTATCTCTATCTCCACCGTGTTTCATATGATTGCCTCCTCCCACGACCATACCCACCCTACAGTCATAATACACCCCAGGGGACCAAGGACCAAAGTATCACCATTTTAGAGAAAGACACAACCCCATGTATAATTCTACACTTAGATAGGGTAAGCTTCCTTCATGGAATAATTGACCATGAAGTTGCCATCATGATAGGTGTGGTCCAAGTCACACTTTGGTAAGAAGAGCATGGCATTTTGACTCGTATCTACAAAGTGAAAACTAGGGCAAGTGGGCTTTATTTTTTTTTTGTCGAGGGGCAAATGGTCATTAGCACCAGGAAAACAAACATTTTATGTAGCGATAAATTCAAAATATATTCCCATCTTATGATTCCGTTTCTACTCTTATCATTTGTGCAACACAGCAAAGATCAAAGCCCAGGCTTTATTGGAATATTAAAAGTTAGCATCTTCGATTGCAAATGATACTAATTTACAGATATATACATCATACAGATATGATCCACATTACAACCTTGTTGCCACGATCAACAAGATGATACACGTGTCCCTCCTTAAACCCCCCCCCTGACAAACTACCAATTACACAACCTAAACGATAACTTAGTTCCTAGCCTAGGGGAAAAGGAATCAATTTTTTATAACAAAAAAGAAATTTTTTTTTTTTTTTTTTTTTTTTTTTTTTTTAAAAAAAAACTAATAAGGAAAAGAATATTCCCCAATCTCAGTAGAGCATCATACAGACTAAACTATAAAGTCCTCTTCAAGTATCTGCCTTCCCTAGGTAAGATATCAGAAGTCTGATTTCATGAGCTTTACTCGAGACCTTATGTTAACGTTCTCAAAGGGCTTTGCCTGTTCTACATGGATGTAATCCTTGTCTTAAGAACCTGCAAAACAATAAGTAGAACCACGAGAAAACCAGATTATTCAGAATTTACAGAGTTTGAACAAGAACATATAATTATACCAAACCAGAGATTAAAATTAATGAAATCAAAAACCAGCAATCCCGTCCACTAAACTACTTACATTGGAAATTATAAACCAAAAGTATATCCAGAAAAGAAAAAACAAACAAACTTGAAGCAACTTTCATTGGTATTGCACCATGCAGAATACACAAGCCAGCTAATATAAAGAAAAATTGCAAAAAACACCTATTGACCTACATCAACTTGTCCTCAGATCCATCCCATCATGAATCTTAGATCTCTCATTGTCACGCATTGACCTCCTAAACCATCTTGTGGTAATTCATTAACGCTTCCTCCTCACTAGTGTCTAGAAGCTGAGGTCTATCTGCATCCACTAATTATCGGTGCTTACGGATGAGTATGCTGATACTAGTCCTCCTTTTGTCATGGAATAAATCTTCTCTTCATACTCCTAGGATAGAAATCTAAAAGTAACCAATCTTCAGGTTAATGATACTAAGTGCTATTCTGGCCTCAGAACCACAATTTTTGTCTTAATGAACTGTTCAAATGTTAGTAAGTGCCATCATTCCTATATAAAAGATAAAACAATAAAATAAAGTAGTAGTATCATCAGCCTTTCTAATTTCTTTACAGAAAAGTAAAGGCTTGCCCAATCCCTAATACTAATACTCCAATTTCTACTCTTTTATAGATTCTAAACTACAGTATTATCCAATACTCCCTTGCATCTGCTTCTCATGATCATAAAACTTTGACCTTGTGTTGCAACTATGACAATCCCAGTTTCCATATAAAAGACAAACAATTTCCATGTTACCAAGAAAAACATCCACATAAGCTCTATTTAAACCTTGTCAATAAAACATGTCATCTATTCCAATAGTTCAGGAATTTATCAAGAGGAACTATAATTTCAATCCTTGAAAGACTAACACCCAATTTTTCACAATGTAGTACAAAACTATCATATTACCATCCCATATAGCAGTGAAAAACTATTCTATTGTCATAATAATTGCTGCTCTAATCTAATCTTCAAAAGTATTGTTTTAGCTCTGCTAATTTCATGTACATGCTTATGGAGTTCCCAAGATTGTACTACATAAATGATATATTACAAGACACACTTACATCCTCATTGATCCTCTGACAAAAGTATAGGAGATTACCAAGATAAAAGAAAACCTGAACATAACGATGATTATAAGACTTACCAATGTTTCAAAAAACATCCTTGATGCTTCCTTACGAGTTTTACCATTTAACAGACTATCCATGCCAAGAACCCTTTTCCCGTTAACAGCTTCCTTTTCAAATAAAGTTTGGAGATACTTGGCAACAGCTCTACAAGAAAAACACAAGTTAGTTTTTAATAAAATAAAAGTGATATCACAATGTATGATAACGATAGACAAAATCAATATCCCAAAAGAACAATCATCAATTTTGAATTTAAATACACTAGTCATTCTCGGAAAAAGAATTGTATGATCTAGGAACTACGACTCCAGAGTGCTAGAGAGACAGACAGACAGACAGACAGACAGACAGAGAGGAAATATCCAAAGTTGCTTATTAAATCGAGGTATGGAGCCCTGTCTTAACTCAAACAAAAAATCCAATTTATTTCATATTGTAGCAATGCTTCAAATCACAAACTTGTCAGTACCACCTTCAGTGGGAATACGTGCAAACCAGCAAAGAACTCCACTGACTTGCAATAAAACAAAAATAGCAGCATGCATTGAGCCTAGCAATGACCATATGAAGCACACGCACCTGGTGCGGGAAGACCACCCACTGTTCTCAAGAAGACGCGTGTCTTCAGCACAAGGTATGTCATCGACATCTTCAGCTATATCATCATCATCTACATTCAAAAATTCTGAAAAGAGGAATGAAAATGTGTTATTCAAAGGAACCTCATCACATAAGTGTGAGTGCATATAAATGTGGAAACACTAGTACAAAAAAGCATGTAGTCAACAAATATGTAAGGCACAGAACATGGCTCTAGGTTGGTCGGTAGCATTTATTTCCAGTCCAGGCCTAGTTCAATAGAGTTGACAAAGGAGCTTTAAAGGGCCAAAAATGTACACGGAGTACAATCATAATAATGCATAAATAGTTTTGTGTGCTATGTGTATATTTCATGCAGACAAAATCCTCATAAAAGTAGGTCCTGAGAAGGGAATGTAGAAATAAGACAGGCCGAAAGATACAAATGAGAACAAATCAACAAGGCAGGAAGGAGAAGCTTAACCTGTATCATTTCCCAAAACTACATCTTCAAAATGCTGCACAATATAGCCAAAAAGTGAAGTTAAAAGCACATATAAAACTTATAAAAGGGGCCTTTAGATCAAACTAAGAAAAAAGCAGAACTCTGAATGCAATTTTTGAACATATAATAAAATCAAGCAATCCCCTGTGCAATCAGGAGTGAAATATGGGAATCAATAAAATGAAAAAGAGGGCTGAGAAATTATTTTTCGCCTGGCATGGCAAGGGAATGTGGCAAATACTTGTCAAAGTGGGCATGCAAAATAACTTTCAGAACTTCAGAGAAATAATGTTCGCAACTCACACCAAAATCTTCTGCAGGGTGTTCTGCGGTGACTTCAGCTTCAATGCCACTCCGTAGATCAGCCTCCGGAGAACCTAGACTTTCCTTACCATTTAAGGGAGCAATGTTGTCTCCATCACCAAGCAAGCAACTAGACTTCGGGTCCTTGTCATCACAACCAAAGTTTGCATCCAGGACCTCAGTTTCATTCCTCATATGTTGCTCATTATTTCCAATTTCTTCCACTGGTTGATCATTTGAAAAACTAAGGTTTTTGCATTCTTCAGTTTCAAGAGATACAGTTGCAAGCGTAGCATTTATGTTGTCAGTGAGATCAGAAAATCCTATCTGAACATCTGCTCTGATTTCAACAGTATACTTAAAAGCATCAATAGCATCAGCTCCTTTCTGAATACTTGCATCCACCTCCATGGGTTGAGCGTCCAACTTCCTACCTGGTGACATGCATAATGCGTCCATCTGCAGCAACGCATCTTCATCATCAGTTTTTTTATCCATAAGCCTTGACTGGACGTTAACATCAGTTGACACATTGTTAACATCTGCTAAAACAGGATCAGCAACTTCAAAAATCTCTTTTTCAATTTCCATTTCAGCTATCTCCCCTGTGGGTTGATGTTTGCAAGTATTAAATTCTTCTAGGCCAGTAATCCCCTGCTCTTGAGCATCAGTATCCTGAGACCTTCGATTATGATCTTCAGCCTCCTGCTTTTCATTCTCAATAGGAACACCAACAGGTTGTGCTTCCAGATCATCTGTCACTATTACAGGTTCAGTGCTTCTAACAGGTTCAATTTCTTTACTTACATTTGGCCTGGCATAAGTCTCTACATCCTTCTGTAACTCTGCCGAAGCACTGTCTTGATCATTTTCAGAAACCCTGGTTCTACTTAGATCAAATGTTTCTGTGTGCAGAAATATTAGTTCCACCGACATGCCTGTTAGACATCAAAACTAATTCAGGTGGCTTGTAAAGATTTCTCAAGAAGAGCAATCATTCATAGAGCTACCAGTCTCCCAAAATAAACCAATAAGTGAAACACAGTGATTGTATATGTGCACGTCTAATTACATGTGTGCGTATTAGATTAATCTCTGGTATCACCAACTTACCAGTAAGTACGGGTACAGTGAAAATATCATCTTCCAAAAATTGTCTCTGAATCATTGAAATTTCTGGGCGAGTGCAAGGAGCCTTCTTTCTCACACGACGAATGTCTTCAGTATTCGTTAACTGCTGGCGTATTGTACTTCAGAAGACCAGAAGGCAAGCAGTTAGTGTCTAAAGAGAGAGAGAATCTAGCATGCAACAACATATACAACAAGATGCTTAATATGATTATCTTATCTCAGAGCCTGCTGAGCTGAGCATTTAAATGAAAACTACCACTCAGCCAAGAAGCACTCTACTAAGATAAACATACCGCTGCTATACTTCTAAGGAACAAAATGTCAAATTTCCCATGGGAACATGCTGGTTGACAAAGAGCCCAACCATAGGCTTCTATGTCAAGTCATGTTGACGACTTAAGACCATGAAACAAGTGGATCATTCAGAGATCAACATTGCATTGACAGACGTGGATAAAAGACTCAATTATACAAACTTAGTAGTAAAGGCATTTTATATCATAGAGGTCTTAAAACAAGCAGCAAATATTCTTCAATATAAGACACTTTCGTTCTGTTAAATAAAATAAAATTACAACAGAGTCTATGAACCAAAGATGAGATTGGTCAAAATTAGTTGGGAGATATATGAATTCAAACAAAGTAGATATATGGAAACTGTCACATACTCGCCATGCAAGACCATTGTATCATCCATTAGCACTTTCCTCTTTGAGGCAGTACTGCGAACAGCAGTCCGGGAGCGTTTTGAGCATATTATGTCAGGTGCAAGTGGAGTGGGTTTCATTTTTAAAACTGAAGATCGTCTTCCAACTGAAACAACAAGAATTACAGTTCAGTCATAATCATATAAGCGTAAGAATATTCTTCCAAATGAAGATCCAGGGAAAAGAGAAAGAAAGTTGTCACAACGATCTATCAACTCATTTGACCAGTCATAACACAAATTGGCATGTAGAATATTCTGAACGCATGAAGAAAGATCCATTTAGATACCTAAAATAGAAGACAATAAATCATCATCATCAGGGATGGATTCTGCAGTTCTCTTTCCTCGGGCCTCTCCAAATGATTCAACTGAATTTAAACTTTGCACTGTCATAGTACTTTCTGTGGAACTACGTTTTTTTCCCTGAGATGAGTTTGATCCCAGTATCATCACCAGCATCCCCACCTATGATTTCTTTGTCAGGCGTAGATTCCATTAGAAAATCACTTGGTTTCGAAGTGAACCCCTCTGGTACAGAGAGCAATTTTTCAGGTGCAGGCAAGTCATAGGTGGCAGACCTATCCAAATTCTCAAATTGATTGTCAAAAGATGTTGCATTGTCCAAAAAACTTGGCCCAACAACCTCAGAAGGTAAGTTGCCAGGAATTTCTGAAATATTTGCAGGAGATAGCATATTACGATGATTCGGGACGGAGTTGCATGCCCGGAGTACAGGCACTTCAGCAGATGACATCTCCTCATGAGTAACAGGATTAAAAGAATCTTTAATGTTAAGTGTGCCTGATTCTCCCATATTATTAGCAATTTCAACATCATTCTGTATTTCGGGCTTTAAAGATGTCTGTTGGTCCTCCAAATAATCCTCTGACACTCTCGCACAGGAACTATTTGAACAAATCTTACGAGCAGGGTCCTCCAATTCATATGTGACCTGGGAGCAGCTAGGAGATGCAACAGTTTCATCCAACCTAACTACTGCAGGTTCTACACTTTGTGCATCCTTTTGATCTAGGAAGAGCATAGCAGGTTCGTTGTTTATTACAATACCATTATATATATCTTCCACCCTGTTTGGACAATCCAAAGCACCAACTGTCCCATTTGCACATTCTAATACTGGAGAAATGGGTTTAATTTGCTCATGCTCCTGTGGCTTTGCTTGCTTGATCTCCATATCGCCCAACTGGTAGCTGTTCTCCTCATTCAAAACCATTGTACTATCATCCCCACAACGCGGACCTGGCACACAACAAATATTTTCTGGGCTGCGAATTGCTGCTAAGTTTGATAAATTATGGTCTTCCAAATCCAACTGATCATTGCATGCCATAGGTTCCTGAACACCAGACAGGTTTGGCTCTTCAAATAGTCCAGGAGTTGATGGAGCCTGAGCATATGTGACATTTTCAGTACTTGCAGCTAGGACTTCATTCTGTTCAAAAGGGGTAAAAATATTCATCACTGAGGCAAGATTGTATTATACAGGTTGGCACATAAATCACACCTCCCTCCACCCCTTAACAACAACGAAAAAATAGAATAGAACCATGCTTACACACGAGAAACGACGATAAATTAGGACAAAACAGAAAAAAGGGAGTTTTGGGGTAGTATTAATAAACCTCGTTTCCAATCCCATTCATTTGCATGGTTTCTGAAGTTCCAGGTATCCCCTCATAAATTTCATGCTTTTCCAGAGGTGTTGTGGATTGGACCAACGCCTGAGGATCACCACTGAGATAATAGAAAATTCATAGGATAGATTAGAAAATTCATAGTGTTCTAAGTGATTCCATGGATGAAGAAAAAAATAATAAATAAAAAAATACCCAACCACAGACTAACAGGTAACAACCTCTTCAACATGAAGGAAAAAAATGTCAAAGCATTGCGGAAACGAAACAACCAAGTATAGCATAAAATAGAAAACAGGCAGACCACTCATAGTCTTGTTCTGCAACTTTGAGACAGGAAAAACAGGCATCCCACTTGCAAATTAAAATCACAAATCACCACCGCCGCCGCCAAAACTCCTATTTACAGTTTAACGCATCCAGATTCCAAATTGACCAACTACAAATTTTACCCTTAAATTCGATAATGATAAATGGAGCTAAACAGGAAAAATCTACAAATCCTAACATCATTTTAACATTCGTTGCTACCTTCAAGTTTCAATTACCTTATCCAAACCCATGGTAATGACTTTTTCATAAATAGCTTATGTTGAAGGATATGGTGGTCAGACAGAATACGGGTGAAACACTGCTTTCTTTACTGGAAAATGGTGTTATAGATGCAAAGAGTCTAAACCATCCACCAAAGAAGTTGAGTCGTTCTAATTCTAACTTCTAAAATCCTCATTGTGAAACAATGTGTGAGAGAATCAAAATAGTAACCCAATTTATCACCATAGAGATATAGAGAGGTTACCCTGAAATTCCATCAGTTCCTTGAGCTGCAACCTTGCCTAAGAATAGGTCCTGTTTTCAATCATTCAAAAACAATTAGAACATCTACAAGCGACACACACATATATATTTTTCTATTGTAGGCTGATTATATTAAGAGGTATAAAAAGGAAGTACAATCAATGTGGACCAGGAACAAGGTAAATAATAAATATTAGACAATAGTTAGGCCAATTATTGCGTAAGCAACACATTAACACCAAAAGATAAAAAGATAAAATAAAATTGAAAATTGATAAAACCAGGAATTGAAAATCATTCCAAGATTATTCAGCAAAGACACTAGCACTTTGGGCATGTTCGATTTTATGAACCGATTATAACTTATATTTTATCATAAATACCAATCACTAAGAACCCACAGGCCCACTTCTTACTTTGCCCCAACAGCCATGTGAGAAAATGTGAGCTTGCACATCTCTAGCAAATCCTACCAACTTTAAGCATTTTGAGAATGCTTTACTTTTAGTCAGTGAGTGACACAGTTGGACATAAAGACATTCTTTAATCTTCATCAACAACAACATTTCTCATAGGGAAAAACTCATTTGGGAGTTGAATATAAATACAAGCCATGAATCCTTTCTTCTGCAATTCCAAACCCTAGAACAATAAATTAGCCAAACCCTAGTAACAAATGAGTAATTGCAATGCCTAGCCATATCTCAACATCATCAACAGGAATTTAAGGAACCATGCATAAAGAGAAAAAAAAATTGACAAGTTCCATCTGTGCAAGGAAAAAAGCAACTGGTAACTCTCTGCTCTATTAAATTACAAAAATAAAAATAAAAATTACCTCATCAAAGTCTAGACCAATTTGAGAAGTATCGCCATCACCAAACCGCTCTGAAAACAAACCATGAAATATTGGAATTTAAGTTTACTTGGTACATAATCACCGTTAAGTTTTATCCTAACCATCAAATTTAATTCAAAGTACCATCATGTCATCACTATGAATTAATGAATACTAACCGTCCAATCCAAACTGAGATGTCGAGTATACCACACCCTCCATTGTATCCTGGAGAGTTATTTGCTCCCTTGTACTGACATGGTGATCAACATAATTACTGCAAGATAACTGAATGTTAATTTATAAACGAATACAATATCCAGCATCTCAACACCTAAAGCGTTCGTTCTATACAAATCGAACATACTAACCCCTGAAAAATTTCATTATCTGGTAACTCAAAATCATCAAGATCAAAAGTCTCAGGCAATGTGATGGAATGATATGGAGCAGTAGATTCTTCTGGAGGTAAATCAACTGCAGTGGAGCGAAAAGCTTGCTTTATCTTAAGCAAAGCCTCACTGCAATCATCAAACAGGTAATTGACCTTTCTAGAATATATCCTCACCACACCAAGTAGAAGATGGCTGGACAACCGAAGAGCAATCGGAACTTCAGGAAAAAGAATAGAATCTGTATAGAAAGATAAGACCATGGAAATTGATGAGTGGATAGATAAATTGGACCAAAAAAAAACAATAATAAAAACAGAGCAAAACTTATATTACTGAGATTGGAAAATAAAGTAAACTACCATTAGCCCCAAGTGCTAACCCAAAAAAAGAATCAGGGGGTTAAGTATTCAGAAATCCAGAAACTCAACAAAAAGAACTCATATCACGGGTTTAAGGAATAATCCCCAGCCAAACAATTGACTCTGACTGGAACTACCTAAAAAGGAACTAAAGATTTTCTTTGAATGGATATTGACAACAAAAGAAGAATTAACAGGAGCATGGTGCTGATGCCAAACTTTTCTTGTCTACATGGGTTTCTGCCCCCTTCGATTTTTTAATATATTATCGACTTCCAAAAAAGAACATCCACTGGCCACTGGGGAGTGGGAAGCATTAAAAAGCTTATGAACATAGAAACTACAATCTTTAAAGAAAAAAGTTCCATGCTCTGTTAGGTAGCTGAATAAACTTGAGAAACTAATTAGAGCAATAAATATTATATATTTCCCAATTGGAACTACAAGGTAATAAAATTAATTATCATACCTAATCTTCAACTAGGTGGAAATTTGCATCCTCCTAATTTCTTTTTCTTTTTTTCTTGGAGAAAATGTATAATAGACTGTAAGGGTGAAAAGAGTGTAATTATCTGGAAGAGGTAGGCCCACATTAGTTCAATCAGTTTTCAGAAATCTTCCAGCTTATTATCTATCTCTCCTAAGAACTCCAAGTAAGGTGGCAAAGAGGTTGGAGAAACTAAGGAGAAATTTTGGTGGGAGGCTATGGAGAAGGAGAAAAACATCATTTGGTGAATGTGAGATTGTATCTCGCTCTTGCAAGAAATGAGGGCTAGGTTTTTTGGAGGAAAATAAGGGGGATTGTTGCTGGGAGGATGTGCTATGATGGCTGTCTTCTAGGTCGTTTGGATGGACGGGGGAGGAGCTGTACCACTTGTGGGAAATAGTTCTGATTGTAGAACCAGTATTGGGGATTTAGAGAAACAGGGGAATTAAAGAGAAAAACAAGATTCAAGTTTAGAAAGTAGAAAGATATAAAAAGATACACAGATCTAGAAAACACAGAGGACAAAATCATAGGAAAAGGAAGGAAATATTCAGATAAGAACACTTTAATCATTCATCAAGTTTGTCTAAAATGACCATATCGGTGGAGGAACGCTGGATCTGCCGCTTGGGAGTGTGTCAGGCGGCTGCAGCTTTCCAATCTAGAATAATGTCAGATAGAGCTATACTCCTAAATATAGGAAATACAGAAGCCCAAGGCGCTGCCCAGTACTTGACCTTCTCCCAAACCTCCTCTGCTTCCATCCCCCTAATATCTTAAAAGATACGCTGATTTTTTTCTGATCATATAGCCCAATAATACCCATACCCCAAATAATACCCATCACCAGACAACCCCATATTACCACCACCAATACTATAAAATTCTCATCCAACAAGAAAAGACAATCTGAGTTGTTGTCATTGGAAAGTCATTTCAGAGGGCATGAGTTGATATTTCCTAATATTGAGTTGTGCGAATCATTTCCTCATCTTCATAGATTATGGTATTCTCATAATGCATCCCTTGGAAATATATGGTAGTTTCTCTTTTCCAAGGGTTGAAATCTTACGTTTCATATAAATTAGGATCCCTTTTACCAAAAATGTTTCCTTACAATCTTGTAGATCAAAGAGAAGGTTTTGGAAACTTGAGTTGAGTCATTGGGGTCTTTTATGTGCAAGTCTTATGTCAGCAAAGTTAATTCCCATGATTTTTAAGGTTAAAGTACCTTAATACCTGTGACATTATGCAAAAAATAATGTGTATTTTTTTGTTCATATTCCCCCAGTGTATTATATGCAAGGAAGAAAAAAAAAGCAAGATTATTGACAACATTTTTCTTCATTGCTCTTTTACTTTACTGCGTTGGCATAAGCTGTTTGGGGAGTAGAGTTGTTGCAGGTGATTCCAGATTCATGGATTTCATTGTTATATGAGAAGCATTGTGCTTTTGGTGGGGGAAAGGAATATGGCAATTCGTGGAATGTAGTTTGCTGGCTACTTCGAGGTGCTTTGGATAGAAATTGAATAGAATATGAGGATTTTAAAAATAATAATAATAATTGTGGGAGGAATCATTCTGGGCTTTATCATCCTCCAAATTTTCTAGGCTATTACTAAAGATACTATATTTTCTCTGGGTTAACGATTTTGTAATCTTTTTATAGGCAGCTGGGCAGAGGTTCCATCTGTACATTCGGTGGACTGCTTGTTCACTGTTGTGGTACTTGTATTTCTGTTTCTTTTAGCTTACAGGAAAGATGAACAAGTATCTCTCCTTTTCAACTTGACTCAGCCTTCCCCAATTATTCTGGATTTTAGGCAATTTTTCCACTAATAAAACACAGTATCACAATTTAAGCTTAAAATTTACTGATTTTATTTTCCTATATTTTCTAGAGAAACGAATCATAAAAACATGGTATCAGAATTTACCTACAGAGACGCCAATATCGGTGTCGGCAACCTGATTCTTTCGAAGTTTGCGCTCCAAATGTGCCGCTATCCATATCGTTCCAAGCGGGCCTTTCTTCGCCAATATAAACTGAGAATAAAACATTTCCCTGTATTTTTCACACCTTAATTCCCCACAGAGACCTTAGATTTCATACAGCAATCTTCCAAAAAGTAAGTTAACTTGGAGTGAACCCGAAATTTTCGAGCCAATAACGAGCCCGCGGAGAGTTAAGCTTCCACCATACAAAACATCAAATCAAGGAAAAACTCTTGAAAGTCAACAAATTTACATGGCACACCATTGAAACCCTAAATTTCAGACAACAGTCTATCAAATTGTAGAACAAAACCCAAGAACTTCCAATCGTAGCCTGAACCTGAATTGTGACGATTTAGGGAAATCCCCAAATTAACGACAAACTCAAAACCCTAACAAAACATAACTTCTATTCCACCTTTTTCATACAGCCCAGCACTTCAATAACAAAAAACAAAAAAGCCAAGATACCATTGGCCTGAAATTTTCAGAATCACCGTGACCCTTTTCTCAAGAGTGGAAGAGAGATGTTGTAACTTTTAAGTGGTTGGAGTTGACGAAGCGAAGCTAAATTGATGGTGTTGGAACTTTGAAACCTAGGTTAAGTAGAACAACGCTGTATGGTTGCAGAGACAAAAGTATAAAGCTTGGAGTTGGATTTGCAAGGACTGAGTTTGGCCCACTGAGTCAGAGATCGTACCGAGTCGAAGCGTTTATGAAAGACAGAGTCTCGATGTGGAATAGAGGAGAGAGTGCTTCGGTAGCGCCCTCGGATTTTCGAACTTTTTTATGTTATGGTGTGGGTTGGTGCACCTTGGTGATAGATTTTAGATTTTACAAATGCTAATCAGAACACTTGGAAAAATATATATATTGCTAATCAGAACAATAGAAATTTACTCATGTGTTATTACACTCTCAGCTTTTTAATACTTTTTGATTAATTTTGTTCATTTTTATTATTTTCTTTCTTATTCTACCTTTATCTTACAGTCATTTCTTTTTACTTTACTTTTATATTATTTCTTTTTCTTTATAGTTAATTTTTCAACTTCCATTCTATTTTCAATATTTTTTTTCTTTAATCGAGTAATAAAGATGGCCAAAGTAACCACAAATAAACATAAAAGAAAGAAAGAGTAACTAGATTAAACAAAATCCTCATATACTCAATACCATAACTCAAATTAAAATCACAACTTCAATAACAGATACAAAAGAGAATTTAATTTAACCAAACTGTATCATTCCACTTAAACCATCACAACATGAGTTGCCAAACTTGCACCACCTCTAGAGCCATTTCCATGGCTTCCAAGATCTCATAGTGGCTCTGTCATTGTCTATTACGCAACACATAAACTGACCCTAAAATAAAAACAAAACACGATCATAAACTCTCAGGAAATTTCTCATTCTTATATGACAACCCAAAGTTCCACTATTACCTGGAAAAACGCCTATTAAGCATAATATCTTAGTAAGAAACACTGCTAATAAAGTTATATTAAGTAAGAAATTAGACGTATCATGCATAATATCTTGAGAATTAGAAGAATTACTAAATACAAAATTAGTTAAATACCCATTTCTAGACATAAAACTATAAATAAACCCTATACTATTTACTGTATATAAACACACCCAAAATAAACCCAAAAATCGACAGCTGTCGATTTTTTCAATTCAACAGTTATATTGGATTACGGTTTTGCCCTTTTGCAATTTTGAGAAATAGCCGACTTAAATTTTTTTTTATTTAAATCTTTTATTTAATAACAATTATGTTGTAGATTAAAGAGGAATAAGAAGAAGAAGAGCATCGACCATGGCGATGAGCAGGTGTGCGGCTCTAAGCTCATCTTCTTCCGCCAATCCTTTCAATGCTCTAGGCAATGCTCTTATCGGTTCTTCTTCCAAGACTTAGGTTCGTCATCTTCCTCGTTGCTTCTTTCACTTTCAATTTCTCTTCTCCATTTCGAATTTTCAATCCTCAACGACATCATTTTCTCAGGCTTTCATTTGATTCACGAGCAGGACACCCACAACTTTTGAGCCGTAATTTTATCCAGACGTTCATGGCCACATGCTGCACCAGATCTGAGAGAAGGCTCACAAGGATGAGCTTAAGAAGAACAAAGATACCATTTCAAGGTCAGCCGAATCATATTGGTATGATCCGGTTTGATTATCGCCGAAATTTGAAGCTCGTTGAGCAGTTTCTTTGCGATTTTGTGATTAATTTGAATATGTCTACGGTTCTTTCCCTTAGTTTTGCATTTCGTTTACAAATTGTGATAAATATATTGATTTAAAAAAAATCTGAAAATTACTTGCTTGCTTATTTGTGTTAGTTCTAATATGATTTGTAATGCTGGTACTGTGTTTCTAGTTCTTAGCAGAATGGTTGAGCATCTACATAAACATTTTACTGTTTGTATGATGCACATGCTAAGCTACTGTTAGTTAGCAATTTTTGTTTCAGTCTTACTACTGCTTTTGCTATTACATAAGGATAATAATGTTGTTTACTTGTTAAAATTCCTTTTTCAGCGGGTTGAGACCTATAAGTTATCTAGACTGGTTTTGCTGCTGTATATATATTTTTTTAATGTGAAAATATATTGTATTATGCCTTTCAGGATAATGAATCGTTAATGAGGGCACTGTCAAAGCTAGTCAATCTTAACAATCCAGATCTTGTCTTGTTTGTTGGAGAGGCACTTGTTGGAAATGATGTTGTTGATCAGCTTTCAAAGTTTAATCAGGTTTGAGCTCCATATTCATGGTTTTTTCTAGGATTGTCCAATTAAGGTTTGAATCTAGTGTTTTCCATATTGAGTTTTGCTTATTAAATTGACCAAAATCTTTACTGCAATTTGCAGCTTCTGGATGAGATGATTGACAATGGCTTCCCTCTCACTATAGAACCTAATATTCTGAGAGAGATGATTGCTCCACCAAATATAGTTAACAAGATGTTGAGTGTTGTGACAGGCAACAGTTCCAACATGAGTGACACACTTCCAAGTGCAACATCATCTTGCATTCCATGGAGAACAGCAGACCCGAAATATGCTAACAATGAAGTTTATGTTGATCTTGTTGAAGAAATGGATACAATTGTAAATAGGTCTTTTTTTTTTTTTTTTTTTTTTTTTTTTTTTTTTTTTTTATAATTTGATGATCTCCATCCTTTTCTTTTTGGTATGGATTAAAGATTCCATGTATTAATGACTATGCTTCCTGTTCGTAATTGGTGACTCTTTACAATCTAGAAACAGACAGATAAGGAGCTTGGGATATTCTATTCATTTTTCAAACTATACGAATCACATGGCCTCTTCAAGTGAATGCAAACTTTTGTTCACCCTTTTGCTTCCGCAATCTTTTTGAATAACTTGGATGAGAATAATAGTGCCTTATCTGAAGTTTGAAGAGGTGAATAATCTACTTCAAGATAATGGTTGCAATTTAATTTATAATTTTATAAGACATGTTATCATTTATGGATGGTAATGATATTGTATGACGATCTGCAGACTTGGTAGTCATAATTGAATGCTTTGTATGGTTATAATTTATATCTCAAGGTTTTGTAGTTAAAGTTGTGTGTGTGCTGCTCAAGGATGGGGTCTTGGTGAAATGCGAGATATATGGTGAAGTGCAAGTTAACTCCCATCTCTCAAGTGTTCCTGATTTGACTCTTTCATTTGCAAACCCTTCTATTCTTGATGATGTAAGATTTCATCCATGTGTTCGATTTCGCCTTGGGAATCCCAACAAATTCTATCATTCGTGCCTCCTGACGGACAATTTAAACTGATGAGCTACAGGTGTGTGCTGTTAAAAGGACACTTAGGTTATTAAAATTTACTTTGTTTTTATTTAAGTTAAGGGTAATATAGTTAATTATTAAATATACCTTGCCTTCAAATTGGACCATTACATTTGATAGTTGTTGATCTTGTTGAATACTGAAGAAATTTCTTTTCCTCGACTCTTTTGTACTGCATATAGTCATAGATTCTTGTTGTGCAACATTTGCAAAAGTTCAGAAAAGGGGAAAGGGTTTCTGGGCTGAGTTTGAGTTGTACGCTGTTGATCTTTTGGTTGGCATAACTATTGACATTGCTTTGGTTGGCATGTTGGCACCCTATGCTCGAATTGGAAAGCCATCAGTATGACGAGGATTATTTGAAAGTTAACAACTACATCATTTCATTTTCATAATAGGTAGGAAAAAAGTGTATAACTCCATACCATTCACTTGAAGTTTATGATATGCATAATGTGATTTTTACTAAGAAGATGGTTCTATGACATAGTATTAACAGTGTACTTTTTTTTCTTTTTTTTTGGTAGAGGTATCTTGCTATTACTAGTATTCTTCATTGCTGGAGCTGGCGGGACAATGCTGATCAGTGATGTTGGGAAAGTTTTTGCCTTTGGAAAGGACTCAATATGGTTCTATGACATAGTAATAACAAGATAGTTCTATGACATAGTGTAAACAATGTTTTTCTATGGAATGATATTAACAATGTTTTTATATGGAATGGAATTAACAATGTACTTCTATGGAATGGTATTAACAATGTACTTCTATGACATGGTATTAACATTATACTTTTATGACATGGTATTAACAATATACTTCGGGCTTGCAGGGGCAGAGATGTAATTTATAGTAACTTCAACACTCATTTCATATGTAATAAATAGTTTTTGGGTATGTTTCTAAATTGAATTTCATGTAGGGTTTTTTTTTATAATTTCAGTTCCTATTTTGGGTGTATTACTAAAGCTTCCATTACTAAACTCTGTCATTCCACTCAATCACCAGTGCCCACCATGTCTAAAATTCTCTGTTGTTATTTTCTATTAACTTTTCTTAATTTTAGTTATCAAAACTTTAATGTATGGTTATGGTAGAATAGGAAAGAGAAAGAACCAAAAAAAAACAAAACAAAACAAAATTGATTAAAAAGTATTTAAAAAAACAAAAGGGAGTGTAAATGGAGAAAAGGGGAGTGAGAAAATCAGCTCCCAACCAAAATACGTTTTATGAGAGCTATTTTCATAATAAATAAAAGGTAAAAAGTCATTTTTCGTCCTTGTAGTTACAATTTTTATCATTGAGGTACTTATAGTTTCAATTTGATCAATTGCATCCATGTAGTTTGAATTCTAAAGTAATTCAAGGGAAATCCTCAATTTCTATCAAATTACTCTAATTTATGTTCACATGAAGAGGCATTTCGATCCAATCTTATAGACCCTACCCAAACACCCCACAACCACCTTTTCCTATTCATCATCTCCTCCCGACCCACTCCCCTCCCTCCACAACCACATTTCCATCTCTCTCTCTCTCTTCAAAATCCAACCCTAATTTTATGAATTGTTCAAAATCTCTCATTTTTTTGAGTCAAAGGAATGAACATGTCATTACCATATAGAGTTACATAAAAGCCCAATACAAAAGTTAAAAAAATAAAAACAAGGGCTCAACCAAACAAAATAAAAGCTCAATCGAAAATACAAAAAAATTAGGCCCAAAACACCAAAACAATATAAACAACAAGCAGCCGTCGCCGCTGCAGCAAGAAGAAGGAGAAGGTTCAAGGGAACTAACAAAGGGAATCTGTAGAGCGTGGGATTGGGGAAGCAAGCCACCAACATGCATCATGCTCAAACGATCCAGAGCAGGTATTTGTCCAAATGGACCATTAAACTACAAAGCCCACACCTCCTCTCAAATATGAGAATGGGTTGTAGGGGAGAAGCAGTTGCAACAAACAAGTAGCCATCCAATAAAATAATGGGGAAAGAGGAGGATTTTAGGGTTTGAGTTTTCCTGGGAGAGAGAGAGAAATGGATTGATAGGGGTGAGTGTATGAGAGGAAAAAAGGGTGAGAAATGTGAAATGGCTGAAAAGTAGTGGACGAGGAGATGTGGAGGAGATCTGGCCTTACATCTGGAAAATCAAAAGAGGAAGGGCAAACCAGAACACACACAAACAAAAAACAAAAAAACAAAAAAAACAAAAACAAAAAACCCCGCACCAGAGGGTGGCAAAGAAGCCATGCAAGAGGTGGCGGAGGTGCCGCTCCGAAGGGCGGCTGCACATACACCAACTGCTTGGAAGAGGGCGGTGGAGAATGAGAGAAGGGGGAGCCACTCTCTCTAAAGCTCTCTTGGGTGAATGATACTTTTCACCTAGCTTTGTTCAAAACCTCTCCTCATGAACCCAAATTCTTGAAAACAAAAGCTAGAGGGTAAGAGAAGCTAATGAAGGGCTGGGGTGGTTGTGGGAGTGATTGGGGAGGGGCTGCAGGCTGAAATGCCCCTCCACGTCAATAGAAATTGATTTGAAAAGATACCACTTTTAAGCATATTCTCGTTATCTCCCTCCTTCCTCTCCAAACCTATACTCCTTTAATTGTTTTCGTTTTTCTTTCAATTTGCCCTAATTTGGGAAATCTAACTCTGTTTTTCCATCTTAGTTCATTTCCAAAAGAGGGAGACCTCGCAATTATGGTTATGGTTTAGGAATTTTTTGGTGACTTATGATTCATTGATTGATTTGAGTCTGAGTTTTTTGGTTGGCTGGGTTTTGGGGGAGATTGTTTACTTAGATATAGATAGGGGTGGTTGCGGTTCGGTAACCGCAAATTTTTACTCAAACCGCAAACCGACCGACTATTTGCGGTTTAGTGATTTTTGAAACCGCAAACCAACCGCGTTTTGCGGTTTTAAAACTGCAAGTTCTCAAGCATTCACAAAAATATAAATTCACAACCTAAATAAATAAATACACAACCTCAATTTCTCAAGCATATATAAATTCACAATCTCCTCAACTTCTCAAGCATTCACAACCTAAGAAAATTAAAGTTACAATTCCAAGCATGCCAATTAAAGTTAAACTTCTCAAGCATTCCAATTCCAAATCCTTTAAAGTTACAAACCAAAAGGAAAATGCAAAGCAAAATGAATTAAAGTTACAACCAAAAAGAAAAATTCAATTCAAAGTTAATTAAAGTTACAAACTAAAAGGAAAATGCAATGCACCAATGTTACAAACTCAAGTGTTGGTGGCGAGTGGATTTGAAGAACTCCGTTGTGTTGTTTGAGCACCAATGTTATCTACCGCAACCGCAAATGCGGTTCGGTTCTTAATACCGCAAATGCGGTTCGGTTTACCGCGATTGCGGTTTTATTACGGTAAATTGTCGGTTGATTTTTGCGGTTTTTCGGTTTAAAATGCCACCCCTAGATATAGATGTGGTTTTTTTATTTTATGATTTCGTTGCCTTTAAATAATAGGTTTGTTTCTTTGTTTTCTAATGTTTTGCCTTGTCATAGATAACTTACTAAATGGATTCTGATGTTGGGTGGGAAGCAAATGAACTGCAGTTTGGTCTGGAAACTCAGCATGGAGTGGACGACTCAACCCATGCATGGTTATTATAGTTGATAGCCATGGTTATGGATATCCTTTTTATCTTTAAAGTAGTGATGTACATTGTTTATACCTTATCTGATCCGCTAATGAAAAGATCACACGTGGAAAATAAGGCGCCATCGATAGGAAGAGTGTTCGGCACTTTCTTACTGCCGAACACAACATAAGAGACCCATTTATCTATCGTTTCTCGCTGGAACATGTGGAGCCACCACAAACAATATCTACAGTCCCACATCGAAGTTTCACTCAAGATGCACACCTCCCAAGACCCATAAAAGTGGGCACAAGTCCCAAAAAGGAGGTAATCGCGACCTTCAGCGATTATGCCATTACTCTATCTAGGTTACAAATTAATCCGTACTTATTCTAAATTAAGCATCGGAAAGCCTTCAACCGGTACCAAAGGGCTTACCGAGCGTTTCTTGTCTTGCAGATTGATCACTCTACCAAAGCCCATAAAGTGCCGAAGTTCAAAACATTACTAAATTAGGCCCAGAAGTGCTGAACCATTTTTGAGCATCAACATACATGAATGGAAATAGTTGTGGCATCGAAAATTTATATACCGGCTGTAAATTGCCTCAACTTGGCCATGTCTTATTTATTAAAATATAATATTCAATACATGTTTTGTTTTGATAGGCTAGAATCATTCATGGGCTACACGAATGACTTGCTTACCAACATTTTCTCCCAAAAATAGCCCAACAAAAGCAGATGGAGCACTTTCCAAGCCTTCATTCATGTCTTCGATGTAAACAATCTTACCTTGCTTGTAGTAACTAATGACATGTTCCAAGAAGCGTGGGAACAAGTGTATGTAATCACTTTGCAGGAATCCCTGCATCCTGATACGCTTTGTTATGAGATTGTATACGTTGCGGATGCCCTGGGGATTAGAGAGGTTTTTCTCAGACACCATTCCACATACAGCAATTCGACCATGAATTTTCATGTTAACAAGTGCTGCATCAAGCATGTCCCCTCCCACATTATCAAAGTAAATGTCAATGCCTTGAGGAAAGTACCTGGTACCGAAAAATAATAACAATAAATTGAATTGGCAATTGACGGAGAGGCTCATTACATTCCCCATGCCATGTGGGATATACTCTCAACATAACTCATCACTTACCTTTTCAAAGCTGCACCCAGGTCTGGCTCTTCCTTGTAGTTAAACGCTTCATCAAACCCAAGCTTATTCCTCAAAAGATCAACCTAGTAACGTGTCCAAATTAAGTTATATTGCTTGTCAGTGCTATTTCATCAAATATATTCTCTCAAATTATCAACAAAAGAAAAGCAAAATGATTTATGAGTATATATACTATACTAATAATGTATAATAATACAACAACAAATATGAGACCTTACTTTTTGGCTTGAGCCACAACTTCCAACTACATAGCAGCCAAGCAATTTAGCCAGTTGGCCAACAAGCTGCCCAACGGCTCCTGAAGCAGCAGAAACTAAAACAGATTCCCCTTTCTTAGGGGAGCAGACCTCATAGAATCCCGCATATGCAGTAAAACCTGGCATACCTGTAAGAAGAAATTCTAGTTTGGTCACTGATTTAAGAACTAAACAAAAAAAAAAAAAAAAAATAAACAAAATTTTTTTTAATCTAACAAAAAGCAGAATAGCCAAACACTGCACAGTTGTCTCTTTTTTTCCCCCTCTTTCCTCCTAGTCTAAGCAGGGTTGATTGAATCCTCACTTCCTCTCCTTGCTACTAACTTAAAGATATCATTATGTTTGCTACAATTGCCCAAAGATCACAAGCTCATCTCCCAAGAGAATACAAATAGAGGGATATAACCTAGAAACTGTGTACATAATGAGTAAACCGGATCTGCTCTCCCTTATCATCAAGAAATTTCTCTCATACTCATACGGGATTGAACACACAATTATCTGTATGTGCCATAATTGCCTAAAAATCACAAGCAGGACTCCCAGAATAGAATATGCTGAAGAGAACATACACGGAAGGGTGTAAAGTAGAAACTATGCGCAGAAAGTGCAACCTGCCCTCCCGTATCATTAAGAGAATTCCCTCATAATAAGGGAGAACTATAAGCAACATGATCTCAAGGGTTTTCTAATTTATTTTTTTTACTTTAAGTTCAATATACAATTTTGCGTAAGTAGGATCAAACAAAGGAATGGTCAGATTATATAACTCTCAGTTTTTAACATTAGCATTCAACTATTAAAACTTAAAAGTGTTTCTGTCATTATTTGCAGTCCGAAGTGAAGATTCAGTGACTACAAGAGTACCACTTTATGTGCAAAATATACATAGGCAAGACGGCGAAACTAAATAAGGGAAAGCATTGGAGCCCAAGATTTCGATGTATAGACTGTGGACTTAAAATTAGAAGTACGATAGAGGGATTGCATCCAAGAGACTACCAACATATTTAATGAATGCAATCCAATGGCGAAGATTAGAAGTATGATAGAGGGACGAACATAAAATACTTATTGCAATTTCTCAAATATGTATATAATACATACAAGATTAACATACCAAGAAGACCCACATGGTATGATAGAGGGATGTCATTTGGCTTAATTTTTCTCGACAGCTCAGTTGTGCGAATCAAGCTGTATTCTTCCCATCCGGTGATCCCTGAGATGAACTCGCCAGGCTTGAAATTGGGATGATCAGAATCCACAACTTTGGAGACACCAAATCCTTGGAGTGGCTTCATATTCATAATGAAAACACCAAGAAAAAAATTAATGACAAAGATTATCAATGCAGAATAGATTATCAATCAAGTGCCTGAAGAAAAAAAAATTACAAATAAAATAGACCTGCCTGGCCAGGAAGGAATGGGGGGAGATAAGAGTCGTGGAAATCACGCATGCGGCCCCTCATATAAGGGTCACAAGAGAGGTAGAGATTCTTGACCAGAAAAGCGCCAGAGCCTTTAGGAGGAGCTTTAAGCTCAATCTTCTTCCCAACCACCACGTGCAAGTCTGTCTCCTTTGGAGTTCCCTCTACGAACCCCCTGAATATCACTTGCTTGTTCTCTTCTACTTGTACTAGACATTCTTCTTCCATTACAATTTTCAATTTACAGAGACACGACGACACAATCAAATCAAATCAAATCAATCGAAACAATAGAAACTGAAAGAAACAATGATTGATTCACTTTCTACTCGTCGTGCTGCTGCTACCGAGTATAATCTTGTGCGGGAGAAAAACAAACTTGGTTAGATAGCAGCAGAGCACTTACTAGTTACCGCTCAGCATTATGACACATTGACACCTACCACCACCTACCACCCACTGCCCTTTTGCATGTGCTGCTTTGCTACTACTACTATTTTTTTTTTTTTTTTTTTTTTTTTTTTTTTTTTTTTAGTTCAGAAATAGCTCAAAACTCTTTTTATAATTTTTTCTGAAAATACCACACATCCCCTAAAATGTTAAAACTACCACCTATAAATACATTTTTATTGTCCACTGATTGCTCACATATCACATTTTGAGAAATTTTATTCTCTCTCAGCTTGCTCAGCCCCCTTTTCTCTCTCTGTCTCTCTAGCGCAGCTCTCTGTCTCTCTCTTTGCTCTAGTGCAAATCTCTGTGTCTCTCTTTGCTCTCTCTCTCTCTCTCTCTCTCTCTCTCTCTCTCTCCTCTCTCTCTCTCTCTCTCTCTCTCTCTCTCTCTCACGCTGCTCTGTCTCGGTCTCTGTTTTGAATCACGAACCCCTCCTTCGACCCCATATTTTAGGTATGTCTTCTGAATAGCTGCTTGCAACCTTGAAGCTCTACTGGATCGCCGACCTCAAATAGGTAGTGTTGATGGTTATTTTCTTAATATCTGTTGGATTCTGTGAAATTTGTTTTATTTTGATTGCTTAGGTTTCTGTTAAATTGGTTTTGGCTGTAATTGCTTTGGGTTAGGTTTTTTGAATCTTCATGCTCATCCATCTGGGTTTTTACCAATTGCATTTAGATTGCTCCAGATATGTGAATCTTGAAACTTTGGATTTTCCATTTGATGTAGTGGATTTGTATAGTGTGATTATGATGAATCCTTAGTCACTGCTGTGTTAGTGTTGTATTGCTGTTATGTTCCTGTTATCTTGTTGTGGTATTGATGTTGTATTGCCGTTATATTGCTATTATATTGATGTTATATTGCCATTGTATTGCCTGGTTATTGTGATTGTATTGTGTTAATGAAATAATTTTTTCATGGTCAGAAATGAAGACAATTGTTATTCTGGTTTGCTACAATGGAAAATTGGTAACCTAAAAAAAGATGTACAAATACGAAGAGGGTGACTCAAAAAGCTTAATAGTTCCAAGGGCCATCACATTTGCTGAACTGTTGGATCGTTTGCATCAGATTGATAATACAAACAGCATGGAAGACAAGATTTGCTTAAAGTTATCAATTTTGGTGGCCTCGAATGAGTGGAAGCACATAAAAATTGACGACGATGATGATGTTAAATTTTTTATGAAGCGATTTGAAAGTGTAGCCTTGGTTTTTCCTTCGCAGGATAGTATTGTTAGGGTTCGGTGGCAATTTATTTTGCATGTCTAAAATGTAGTCTGAAATGGATGTTGTTCGGCTTAATCTTCATATGTAATTCTTGGATTAATAATTGACACAAATTAATCTCGTAATCATCTCATTATTAACTAGTAATGAGTCAAGATAAGTAAATGAAATGAAACAAAACAAGAAACCCAAAATAAACACAAATAGCAATTTCTAACACCCTTTTATCGCCTCTATATCACTACTGTATCACCAAGGTATCGCCATTTTATTGCGTTTTAGGCAAAAACGAATTATGCACTTCCTCAGTTTTTCAGTTTTGCCATATGTCCATTTTTTGACCTTTAAGTTTTCTACCCATTACCCAAATTTTGTGTTTTGTATATGATTGGATTGAGCACAGAAAAATGAAAAAACTACATGGACCAAATTTCAAAAATTGATACAAAAAAGAGTAGAAGTCAGTGGAAACGAACACGTTGTTTCAAACAAGTAAACTATTATACCTCCATAAAGAGCAAGTATGTTTATATATCGAGAAGTACGAAATAGTTGAACTTCACAATCTAAAGAATAAGTATGCTAACCACGATTGCAACTCGAAAACAAAACCCAAAAATGGAAACAGTTTATGTGCCATGTAAGGCAATTAGCCACCGCCACCGATTGTACAACATTACATTTCACCATGTACAACATGGCCGAAGACCCTGGAAATTATTTCACCTTGTTACACATAATACCTAAACCAAATAGCTCTATCAAAATGGATGGATGACCATATAAAGCAGCTACAGCACAACTTCGATGTCTGCATCTTCATATAAAGGATTTCCTGACATAATTAAGGAGCACAGTGAATTCCCAAGTGATAAGTGAAAACGGAACTCAATTCACTAACATTATCATATTTACCTCATATATATGCCTCCCCCCTTAAAGCCTCAATCGCAAGCTTGAGTCGGTAATATGTGATCTTTGAAAGGTGCCTAATGTAGAGACTATAAATGAACACTTACAATTTCCCTTCTTTCGATGAAACAAAACAACAAACAAACACATAATCCAATTGCATAAATCGCCAAAACCATTAAAACCACAATGGAAAAGGAATAAAACCATAATAAACTAGCAATAAAACAGCACTACGATGCCAATATAATACCACTAACATGCCAATCCAACAGCAATAAAACAACATTACGATACCAATAATAACAACAAAACAACAACAGTTTCAAACAAAGAACAAAGAACACACTCCTTCACTGTTTCAAACAAGAAATCATCACAATCAGACAATTTCAGAGAAATCCCTATACCTTAAACCAAATTCAGATAAACCCCTAAACTAATTTCATAGAAACCCCTAAACCCTAAACCAATTTCAGAGAAACCCCTAAACCCTAAACCAATTTCATAGAAACCATACACCCTAAACCAACTTCAAAGAAACCCCTAAACCCAAAGAAAATGATGATGAACCGTATCTTTTGGATGTGAATGGTGGACTTAAGCTTTGATGAACAGACACCGCTGAGGGATGAAGACCACTGCGCCAGAGAGAGAGCTACACGAGAGAGAAAGTTGCGCAGACTGAGAAAGACCGAAGAGAGAGTGAGAGCTCAGCGAAGACAAACTGAGAGTTGAGCGATAGAGAGACAGAGCTAGAGGTGTCAAATGGGACGGGCCGGCCCAGCACGGCACGAGCTCAGCCCATTTAAATGAGGCATGGCACAGCACGAGCACGAATATTAATGGGTTGTACTCAGCATGGCACGAAAACTTGGGCCCGGCTGGGATCAAAAAATGAGGTCCAATGGACCGGGCCGACCCATGGCTCGACATGGGCCGGGCTTTGCCCGAGCACGCTTCAAGCACGGCACGAGCCCAAGCACGGCCCACTTAACATTTTTTTCTTTCTCAAAAGTCAAAATGCAATAATTTGACATCTAATGTCATTATTTATATATTTTTTTTAATCATAAATATATATTTGATGTCTTTCATTTTAGGAAAATTACTTGGGTCCTTAATTAATTAAACATATTAACTACAAATTAATTAAACAACATTGGACTTGATATCTAATCAGTACATATGACATATATGCTTCTCTTATAATCAAAGCAAGACATTATTTCACATATAAAATAATAAGTTGTTTAAAGCTGAAAAATTGAAGTGGACTTTGTAGAGTTTGACACTTTTTGCCTTATGCCATTTCATATTGTTTGGATGTTTGATTGATTAATGTTTTCAAATAGTTCATCTTTTCTTGCCTCTAATTATATTTTTAATGTTTATAATTTGAATTATCTAGTGAAAAAAAAATGAAGTGAAAAAAATTCAAATTAAATGGATTGGTTCTTGGGCCCAAGTATGACACGAGCACGAGCATGGGCACGGCACGAGCCTGGCCCAGCCCGTTTCAATATGGACATGGTCTTTGGGCCGGGCGGGGATCAATGATTTTACTAAATAGGCCGACAAGGCACGGGCCGATAAATTAAATGGGTCGGCTCGGCCCGACACAAAAATGTTAAAAGCACGAGTTTAAATAGGATGGGCTGGCCCGGCACGACCCATTTGATACCTCTAGACAGAGCGAAGAGAGATTGAGAGCTGAGCGACAGAGAGAGACGAAGCCAAGAGAGGTGAGACAGAACAAAATGTCAGAAAAAATGATATGTGTGCAATCAGTGGACAATAAAAATGTATTCATAGGTGATAGTTTTAAAATTTTAGGGGAGGGGTGGTATTTTTAGAAAAAATTATAAAAAGAGTGGCATTTTGAGCTATTTCCCTTCTTCTTCTTTTTTTGGGTGGGGGGGGGGGGGTCAAGTCTGCTTTAGCTCATTCAAGAGTGACTTTAGATAGGTTAGAATTACTTTTCAGTAGAAGCATCTCTCTTCTTCATATAATGACTTTTAGTTATTATATGGAGTAGTAATTCTTCATGAAAGTGATTATTGACATTTCCAAAATCACTCCCAAATGAGTTCTTATTCACATTGCATAATACCCTTACAAAAGTGGGAAATAAACTACTTTGCTCTCGGCTCCAATGCTTTATTCAACAATGTCCTCTTTTTGAAACTCATTCAAAAACACCATCTATAAAAGCTCCCTATTAACTGCGCATTGCCCTTCTTCTTCTTTTTTTGGTCAATTCGCATTCGCTTATTTTTCTTTTCTTCTCTGCTGTTTGTGGTCTCTTTCTCGTGTAATTTTTGCTTATTCCGACTACACCACGTGGCTGGTGAAAATACCTCTTTTGCATCTCCTTTCTACATTCGAAGATGAAGTGAAGGTACAAAAGAATATAAAGTGAGTTAGTTTGAAGCTTCAAGATGAGATGAAACCCCAATTCTGCATATCATCTCTCCTCTTTATGGATCTTGGGGTTTTATTGGTTTCTAGTCCTAATTCCCCCAAAAATATTTCTACCTTTTGCAACTGAAGCTTGAAGCCTAAATCTCAAAAATTGCAAACCCAATTGAAGGCGAATCTCAACCGACAGATTTGCAAACCCAATTTCTAATATTTGTTCTTGAAATGGGTGGATTGCCGTTGATGAACTTTAAATTTTTGTTTGAAACGAAAGCATTTATTTGTTTGAAATAAAAGTATTTATTTGTCTGAAACCCAGCAAAAAATTTCCAAGACACACTTTAAAAAAAAAAAGTGATTCAATGAAACTAGAATAGCAATACATAGACAATACGAAAGCAATAAGAAAGCAATACGAAGACAATACGACAACAATAAGAAGGCAATACAAAAACCCCATACTCCCAACTATATAATTTTATTTCCAAGACAGACTTGGAAATAGGGGTGATACAACGGCAATAGAGAGGCAATACAATGACAATAAGAAAGCAATACCAAAACTCCGTACTCCCAATTATATAACAGACAATCAATATACAAGCAATAAACATGCAAAAAACAAGCAATACGTGGCCAATATGGAGCTTTTATAGAGGGTGTTTTTGAATGAGTTTGAAAAAGAGGGCATTGTTGAATAAACAATAAAGCATTGGAGCCGGGGGCAAAACGCCTATTTCCCTTTAAAAAGTGTGTAGCAGGGTGCTGGCTGGGAGGGATGAAGGAGAATGAAATGAATGAATGAAACAAAAAACAAGAAAATGCAAACACCTTTATAATATATATATATATATATATATATATATTTGTTCATACACATTTTATGTGATTCGCATTCGCAGGACAATTTTGAGATGAGAAATGTTAGGCATTGCCCCACCCACCAACCAAGGGATCAAAAAGCCAATATACAAGTCCAATTTCCACGATTCAATGGTAAGTAATAAACGTATTATTTACGCGTCGGTGTTGGTTGTCGGTGTATGGGTTGTTCCAACCATTTAATTTAGGATCCAACCAACATCAGAAGTTAGACTAGAGCAACAATCAATTCAAACAAACAACCGGGAAAACAAGAGCCAACCAGAATTTACTTTCTCACTGAATTCACCACTAAATAGAAAAGGGCAAAACACAACCCTCCTATCTGCTTTTGTATTTACCTGTACACTGAAAATTTGGAAAGCATCCCAGATATTCAGTTGAACTCATACTAGGCTTGACAACAGCACGAAAACAATTGACATCACTTAAACTCAGCCACAATTCTACGGACACCAATTAAATTTTGTTAACCCCAAGAAATGCAACAATGTTTCTCGCGTCTTTACAGCAAAATGCTTGTAGAATTGGCCACAGAAAACCGTGTTCTTCCCATAACAATGCCGGTCTAAGGACTACATAAACTCCACAGGTCGTCAACCACATCACAGGAACTGCTAAGGTGTTGAAAGTCAGACCGGTGAAGAACAGTCCCTTGGGTTTGTCTAGCCCTGTGCTCGGGGGGGTCCATTTGGTTTGTCTTGGCTGAACAGCAGTGGCGCACACAGACACGATGATGTCTTGTGTCAGTAGAATAACTGCCATGCACCTTAACCACCAATATCACTTCCTTGTCTTTGGTGTCTTCACACCACCAGTTTTGTGGGACACCATCAACGAACTCTTCTAGGGTTTGGTGTTCCTCATGATGAAGAGATACCTCAGCTATATGATCTGGTCTGATAATGCCAGCTGAAGGAGTGACCTGGTTCAAAATCACAACTAATTATTTTTTGTCGAAAATTCAAGATTATGATATATTAATTTCAATGAAATGTGAGGAGGACCAAGACACCAAGTTACATCCCCATCCAAATGGAAAACAATTTAATTTTGTAACAGAAAATTGCATAATCAAGGATCCGTGATCAACTGAATATTCACAAGAGCATGCATGTTATAATTTGAAAATCAGAAGAATTTCCGTATTGCCCACAATGTTTTTGGCGTATCTCTTAACTTGCAAATAGCAGTGAAACATGCTTATGCCCAGAAGGAACTCATTAGACAATAGCTAAATAATCTACAAGTTTCGAATATTGGTGTAGCTCTATACAATCTACAAGTTTTGAACATTGGTGTGGCTCTGATGTTAACATCCATTAGTCTTATTCTCTGCATAGAAGCCCAACTTCCTCAGAAAATGCATACAGAATTTTGTGTGGTCTAATCATCTTTCTAGTGGCAGCACATCACTTTGACATCTACATATTTCATGGGATAGAAACTGCACTGCATCTGCCAACTCATTTCTAATAGCTCCAATCATTGAACTCCAATGCATGCGTTCTTTACTTGTCCTAAATTTTTATTGTTGTTCAAAAACATGTACAAACAACTTTCACTGCAAAACTACTGTCTTCCCTAACACCCTCCACAACCAAAAAAACACTCAATTACTGTAATGGAATTGGCCCCAAAAAAAAACTGTTGTAACGGAAAGTGTGTATGTTGTTCCAAAGCATTGGAAGTTACCTCAAGCCATCGTGGAAAGCCAAAGGAACCTCTAGGACAATGATCTGATGCGTGCCCACCCTCCTTAATGATAGACTGTCCTTCACAAATTATTTCAAAAAAAGCATCTTTTTTGCCACATTTATTTGTAATACGCAAAATGGATGTGTCCTGGTTTTGAAGGATTATGTTGTTTGTACTGACAATAGTTTCTGGAATCTTGCATATTTCTTCAGCCATAAATTTGATTTTCTCATTTGATTTAAGGATTTCTCCAAGCTCTTGTCTTCTTATTGACTCATCAACTCGAGCAATATCAACAGTAAAAATGCAGCGGACAGGCTTGTGATCACTGTCAGTCACATCCATGCAGGCCTCATACCTATTAAATATAAAGATGACATGTAGGAAGAACAAAAATAAACCAAAGAAAGAAAAGGAGATAATACTCAAAGGTGGGTGCACACTTGAATACTATAACAGATACGTACATGAAGCCCACCCATAATTCAAACAATGCATGTTTTATCAGACTTGAAACACATTCCAGTCTGATGCATTCACTGATCCATCAAAGATTTAGCTGCCACTCAACCTCATGAACTATGTATATTTTATAAAACAAATTTATTTCCAATAAAGATATGCCTCAAACTGAATCAAATCCATCGTGAATGTTCATGAGCATGAACTGCAAAGGAGATGAGATCTAATCTGGCCTTAAGATTTCTGTTTTATTTTGTATCCAATAGGTCCTTAAGTTACACAAGGCAATATATTATATACCAACGGTCCTATCTGTATTATTTTATCCCTTCTTTAAATGGCCAAATGTTTCGCAGTAGGAAAACTTACTGTGATATTGAAGACACTACAGGACATTCTAAGCTGCACTCTGACACTGACGCTGAGCGGCTATCACGGTACAGGATTCTATCGCACCAAGCTGGAATGCGCTTCTTCTCACCAGAATCATATCCTATAAGAAGACAATTTACACAAGTCTACTGCTCAGAAGAAAGCAACGTCAATGCCTGACACTTGGAAAAAGGTGTCTTCTCTTTTTATTTAAAATCTTAGGGAAGCATAAATTTCCAAAAGGTTGAGTGCAATAAAAAAAAATGGTATAGAAGTTAGATAAACAGAAACACTGTCACTGAGTCATGACAAACCAACCAGCACAAAAGTTATAGCTAATTACTGCTAAAGGACCTGCACAGCTTACTCAGCATTCAGCAAAGAATCTTCGACCGATCCTTCTTTCTTTTTTCCTTTTTGTTATCCAGCTAAAGCAATCGATTTATAAATCATGTGTGCTACAGTAAACTGTACCTGCTAAACCAGCTTGATGCCTTTCAAACTTGTACGTGGGAGGAAACGTAATATCTGCCTCACGCATTCCTTGGAAGACATTTCCAGCTTCCATTTCCACTCGGAGTTGATCCCTTTCTCTGAGCCAATCAAAACATCTTTGTGAAACAAAATCTCTAACTTCATCATAAGATATACCATCAAGCCGATAGTTAAAATCGCCAAGAAATATGACCAGGTCTGCTTCAGATAACTCAGGCATCCCTTCGGCAGAATTGTTACCAATAGCCTGAAGTGGCAGCAATGTTTATCAAAATATGTGAAAGAAAATTCTTCCTGTAACAAGTAACTTAAAAACCAAAAAGGTGCTTATACCAATTGTAGTATACACATACATGTGTGCCACGAAGAATTTGTACTGCAGATGAAGTACTAGCTGCAATAGAAACGACCAATGGCAAGCCAGATCTATAAACAAACCAAAATAAATACATTGAGAAGGCAAGGGAACAATAGAAGAAAGGTACAGTGTTGTACCAGCTGCACAATTGAGAAAGTTAGGTCGGCAGAAGTTCATTGTTCGATATACATGATCAAAGTCTGCATTGCGACGATTAACAGCTTCTAAATGTGCAGCAAAGTGACAATTAACAAAGCACATTATCCGACCATACATTCTAATCCTCAAACCAACAGCTCCCTGTTAGAACGAATTTTAGCCACATTAATACAACATACCATTATTATGAACCAAAGTATCAGTGTACTAGTGTGTATGCAATACCAATATGCAACGTTTATTTACAGACAAGGGAGACAGAGACCACCTATATAATTTTTCTTTCCATAGAAACAGAGTAAATTTATCAATGAAAATGTAATTCAGTAGAATGAAGGTGAACAAGCAGTCACCTATCAAGTCAAAAATAATCAATATGTATGGCTAGAAAGAAAACAATCTAGTACCACGGCCTTCCAATCCAAGAAGAAAGGTTTTCTGACAAACTCAGAAAAACCGAAGCCCACAGATATGTCCAGAAATGATCTTTATCGCACTAGAAACCCACCTCCTCCGATTTGTTCTCAAGAATCCTATTCCTCTTTGTCCATAAACTGAGACCCCTTAAATGACTATTAAAACATTTAGGAAATCCAAGCATCTCCCAATCTATAGCAATGCTTAGATTAGAACCAGAATACCAAGGCTTCCACCCTCTATAAGCAGATTAATATATAATGTTCACCTAAATGAATAATGAATATTACTATTTTAAAAGTAAAATAAAAACTTTTTGATAGGATATGCAGGAAAATATTAAATCTCATATGTCATGTATAACCAATACTAATGCTAATTTTCCACCAGATATTGTAGATTTGATCTAATTCGACCAAAAAGAACTTTGACCTCAAAATAGCTACTGGGCCAACAGTTATTACAATTCGCCCACATACAAAACACTAAACATGATCCTTATCTTAATATATTTCATGTTTCTTTTTCTTTTTCCCCTTTGTTTTTTCAGTAACTTTTACGCGAATGATCGCTACACAAACTCAATTTCTAACTATCATACAGTACAAAACCTACATAACACAAGCAGCCTTACCTTGTTACCAATGGCACGCCCAAAACCACATGGCACTGCTGCAGCATCGACATCCCCAACATGAGTCCTAATATTGTTTCTCACCCTGAAAGACAAAAATTGAAAAGTCATAATGAGAGACTCAAAAAGGTAAATCCATATAAAAAAGGATAATACAAACACTATTATTAATAAAGAAAATAAGCAACCAACACATTCGGGAGATTCCCAATAAAGATACTCACCACACAGCAATGAGCAATCCTGCCAACTGCCTGGAACCAACACGTTCAAATGTTGACCCTTCATCCAACGTTTTTCCAATCATATCCAGCCACCACTGCCCAACAGAGCTCCCCTCAAGACCTACCTACAGATGAAAGATAACCAGGATGAAGAGGTGATCCAGTTAATTCTACATATGATGGGACTAACATGTGAGCAAATATAAAGTTACTATCGTTCATTGCTTTCATTCAAAAAAAGATTGTGGTTAAGTAAAGATATCCTATTTGGGCCAGGTAGACTCACACACCTTATTAAAAAGCCAAAACCTTATATGTGACCTGTTGCTTGGTAGAAGATACAGAATGCTGTCCCACAGGCACTTCAACAGTGGCCCATGCCTCTAAACAAAACATGGCATTTGGGGTGATGCGCTTATCCACTCTTTTTATATAGTTTCTTGAATTATAATAGTTTGTCTCTTCAAAAACAAATAAACAAAAGCAGTTTGGTGGGAAAAAAGATATATCTTTTTGGAAGCCAAAGGCTAGAAGTTTCACAACCTCCCAAAACAAAAGGTGTGAGTGTTTAAAATAAGTGTTTCCACGCTTTAGGTTATAACATAACATACGCTCTTTGGAATACCAAGAGTGAGTTGGATTTTCCATTCTCTTTTGTATCATTGTTGATTGAGAATCATTACACTTCTGGATGAAGTTTTAGGGAAAAAGTTCTATGGAAATGTTGCGTTGGCTGTCTTTTGGGTGGTTAGAAAGGAATGACAGAATTTTAAAAGATAAGATTAGGGAGATGCCACCGTTATAGAATGAGGTTTCGGGCATCATTGTGGACCACAGTAACTGCTGAAGTGCGGGACATTCCTTTTTCTTTTTTACATAGTTCAAAATTTTCTTGTATCAAACTTTTCTCCTTAAGTACCAGGCAGCAATTATATCAACTTACTAGCAAGAAATACATTAAAAAATTTATTTTAAAAAACAAAAATAAAAACAAAAAACTCACAGTTTCTTTGGCTGCAGACATAGCAAGAAAACCAGCGCCCATTTCAACTTCTTGCAACCCGACAACAATAACTCCAACAGTAGAAGCCACAGAGCCCAGCCAGGATATAAGTGAGTCATGGGATGCTCTTCCTTGTCCAACGTTCCATGTACCAGTCAATATTTTCAAGCTTTCTATCCTTGTATATAGAAATTCTTTGCCAGCTAATTCTGACCGCAATATACTGTCAAGAGGTCCTGGGGATGTAATATTCCATCCACATATACCGCCATGATTAGCCAAGGTAAATATAAAGCCAGCTCCTGCAGCCATTTTTATAACAGGACTGCTGTGAGCTACCCATCCTCCGAGCAGATTACCCTCAAGGTCCAATACGTTGACAGTCCCACTCGCATAACCCACCCATATACGTAGCCCAAATGTACAAAAGCAATGAACAGCAGAAGAATGATAGTGGTAATCTTGTATACGATTGCCATTTCTATCCCACTGTACAAGTAGGCCACTTGTACACCCAGTCCAAATCATTCCATCCACTGCAATTACCATTGCTTCAGTTCTTCGATTATCATCTCCAAAGGCACCCTTCACTGCAACTCGACGAACAGCATCTGCTGCTCCCATTATAGCATTACGTGATCGCTGAAAGAAACCAAAAGAACTTTGTGTTTTGTCTTTTTTTGATCCAGAAACATATTCCACTGAAGGGTCCTGTGCTGATGGAATGTCGACCCGATTCTCAATCTGACCATCTGTGCTGAACACTTTCAGCAACTCCCTTGTACGAGCATCCCTGTCATATGAAAACTACTAGCATAACTTAAATCCATGACATCAGTCTACCTTCACTTAAATCTGCACAGGCCTACATCTTACTCTATAAAAATGAAAATACTCATAGATGAGTCGATGAGAATGGTATAAACCACATAGTTAATAAGGACTAAAAGTACTCATACACATATGGCAAGACCATGAAGTACGAACCACACTGGCTTTAGAGGGGAGAGGGGGGTTGTAAATTCAATGGCATAGGCAATCCAATACGTTATTGTTACATACCATCATTTCATAAACAAAATCTTTAAAAACCATATGCTAATATAAAACTCCTTCACATTATGCACAACCCATATAGATGGCTGAATTCAAATCAGTTAGTTTTATGAGGGAAAAAAAACAAACACAAAAATACATGTGCAGCGGCGGCTGCGGCAATGGTAGCTAGCCTGTTATCCTCGAAACTTAGATATTGAAAGGGCAGACGTACCACAATGCGAATGAGAGATAACCAGCACTCCACACCTTTGCTCCAGAATGATCAGATAATAAGTAGCGAACATCTGAAGTTAATATGTTAGTGAAACCATTAACGGCAACTTGGGTCCAAGGTTCAATGTAAGACCTCTCCACCAACAAAGAAGACATGTGCCTTTCTTCGGTGGTTAGGGAGAGAGCTTTTTCAATAGCTTCCCATGGCCATATCTTGATGACACCACCCTCTGAACCCGACCACAGATCCCCTGGATCAAAGTCAAAGTCAAACAACGTAAGTATATGGTATTGATATTGAAGAAGGTGAGACTGGTGGTAGATAGATTTACCATACCATAACAAGAGATTACAAGTGAAAGAACGGGGCCTCTGTGAGCCTGCCAAGACAAGCCCTCCTTAAACGGATTGGCAGGAATAGGAGTAGCCGATTCCATCTTCCAACACCTGATCCTACCATCCCTATGCCCGCTCCACACCACCCTACTCCCCTCATCTTTAACCAAGCATATCACGGCCGATGTGCACACCGACTCCCTAAACGGCACCGTTTCCTCATCCCCTGAATCGCCTTGGCCTGCCGCCGAGTACAGATCCTTGAAATTCCAAACCCTAACGGCGCACTCCGTGCCCGCCCACAATTGGGACTCGGTGGTCGCCATCGTCCGCAAGAAGCACCCTATCTGAGTCTCCCTCAGTGGGTGGGGCCTCACTTCCAGCCTCGGCGGGCGGCTCGGGTGGACCGGCCCCCGAACCGGGACTTTGAAGATTCCAGTCCCTCCGCCCTTGGCCACGAACTCCGGGAGCGAAGAGCGGTGACCCTGCCCCTGCCCCTGGGAGGCGTTGCTGCTCTTATCATTATTATTACTATTGTTGGTGTTTTTGTTGTTGCCGTCGGAGAGCTTGCGGTCGAGGAATTGTAGCATGTAGTCGAGGCGTTTGGAGGAGGAGTGGAGGGAAACGGCGTCGTTCTCATCTCCCGATGAGGAGGATGAGGAGTCCGGGAACAATTCATTGGGAGTCAGAGTGAAGAGGTCATGGTTTTCGTTTACTTGGATTGGTCTTGGCTGTGGGTTGCTGAGGCTCAGAGACGATAACAGGTCGTCGCTTTCGTCCATGAGGAAATTCTGATTCAGATTGTCTTGGTTTGGTGGACTGTTGGATGTTGGTGGATGTTGGTGGCTGAAGCCTGAAGCCAACCTCCGATATTGGAGCTTGGATACTATCTATGTGTAGTAACGCCAAATAACAAGTAACATCAATCAACTAACAAGAGGAGTGTCCGTCTCCGCCGTGAGAGAAAAAAAAAGAGAAATAAGAGGATAGAGTCAATTAACCAGTCGTTAAATTTCAGTTTTAGTATCCCCAATCTGAATCTATAGTGAATGTCAAACCAAAGTCGGAAAATAGTTACACTCGGCCTCCTCTCCTCCATCACTTTGACCATCAGCTAAAACTAGAGCTTTGTTTTTTTCTTTTTCTTTTTTAAGCTTATTAAATATACAAATCATAGAGATTTTATTGAAAGCCCTGCTCATCTATCTGTCTAGTAACTGAACTGAACATGTGTGTATGTAATGTATGTGTCTTCTTGGCTTCTTTTTTGCGAGCAAATTAATTGTTATTGTAGAAACCAAACCAATTATCAATTTCAATTGTGTTTCTGCCGAACAGAATAGGACTCGTATATAGGCTCAGCCCAATTTAATTCAACCCAACCCAACCCAACCCAACCCAAAGGTGTTGGTCCCGTCCCGTGGGTAGATAATAATTTTTCTATTTCTGAATAATAATAATAATAATAAGCAAATTTGGTTGCGTCGCGTTGTGTGGACTTGGACTTTGAAACTGCCGGCTAAGTTTCCACGTGGCAATTCATCCTTCCTTTTTCCTATGTCCTAGTCCACTCTATATATGTTTTGCCTCCTCCTGGATCGCTCTTTCCCCCATAGATCGATCAGTCAATTTGGTAGAGCGAAGATAAGAGATATATAAATATATTATATAAAGAGCCTGACTGATCAGCCTTAGCAAAGAGCAAAATACCCGCCGGCCATACGTATATGTCTATGATGAACACTATTATTAATGGTGATGGTGGTGGTGATGCTGCTGCTGCTGCTGCTACAAGTGCAAGGGGTACTGTTAGCAAGAGAGTCCCCGGGATGCCATTGATCAGTGGACGGAACAAGGACAGAGATCATGAAGATCTTATTCTATTCCGGGAGTTGCACAAACGCCAAAAAGAACGAAATATTCTCAGCCTCCTCCAACCTGTTTCTGATGAGTTTGAGCCCACTGGTATATATATTATTATTATTTATTTACCTCTTTTATCATCGTACTCTAATAATATTATTATTATTAATTGCTTGCTGCACCTTAATTTTCTAAATACCCTAAATTTATTTCTTCACCTTATACTGACGCAATATATATCTTCAATTGTGTGTTTGATTTGTTTACTATAGCTGTTGCTTCTTGATCATATATATCCATCCAACTGCAGGAAATTATCAGCTCTACAGAACTGCAGCTGCCCAGAAAGGATCTGGATTTGAATATCTTGCTGAAAACGACAAAAACGATTATGATTGGTAAACTGCCCACCCGCTTACCCTTGTCTCATCACCTAATTGGTGTCATTCATAGTTCATATTTTTTGGGGGGTAATAAGGGTTTATATATATACATATTTTTTGAGTTAGGTACTCCGTTTTTTATTCTAGTTTCTGAAATAAAGATATCTTATCAAATTGATTAATTAAAGGGAGAAAGGAGACAATCCAAAGTTTTTAAGTTTTATTTACCAAACAAATGCTAATTATAAACTAGCTAGTTTAGTGAACTATCTAATAGTAGCTAATAATCATTTGTATATGCATCAAGGTTGAAAACACCTCCCGCCACTCCTCTTTTTCCATCTCTAGAAATGGACACAAATGGCCCTGAACTCGTCATTCAAAGGGAAATACCAATCCTCCAGCCTCTTTCACGGGTACGTATACTATGTACTTATTTATTGCAGTGTTCTATGAAATTATGGTCAAATCATATTTTATCCTCCAAAAATGGCCCACCTTGTTCCTCGAACCACAATATATATATTATTGTTAGTTTGCCACCAAAAGTAGATAAACAAGAATGCTCAATATTGCATAAATTAGTTTCTAGTGGCTTTGTTTTGCAGAAAGCAATGGAGAGATAGATATTAGTTCTCTTAACCTAGAATTTTAATCTTGTTTATGAAATTACGTTATAACATGACAAACAAATTTCAAAAACAAAAAAACTAAAAGACACACCCACACAATTCAAATATTATACATAATTTAAATTCTATGGCCCTGTTTGGTTCATAGGAAATGAGACTTGGGAATGGGAAACCAATTGTTTTCTCATGTTTGGTAAGTCTAGGTATAGGAAATCGTTGCCTAGCTCATGGGAAAATAAGGGGGAAGGTGAAGTCATCCTCCTAATTTGAGTTTTGTTTTCTCTCTTCATGGGAAAGTTTGGAAAAATGAGATAATATAAAATACATATTTTTTATGACCATTTTATCCCCATTAACAATTTAGAATTACAATATATCATTAAATGCATTCTTTTTTATTTGATTTAATATGAGTATAATTGAAAATTTATACAAACTTTGTTTTCCATTCGTACTCAAAATAAACATAGGAAATGAAATAAAGTGATATTTCCTAGTTACTTTCCTAACATTACCAAATGTGGGAAATGAATCTTTCATTCTCATTCCTTGGGGAATGACATGGGAAATGATTTCCTCTAAAATTCATTCCATGAACCAAACGAGGCTTATGTAATTACACATAGGATGACTAAGAATGCCTAACGGGGGGTGAATAGGTCAATTTAAAATTATAATCAATAAATAAAAATAAACTTCAGTAGCATGATTGATATGGATTATCAATCCTAAAACGTGCAAAGCATAAAATAAAGAAACACGTAGAGAATTATTTTACGTGGTAAAATTCCACATATGGATAAAATCCATGGGACTCCTCAGTCCAAAACAAATCTACTATAAAACAATGATTACAAGAAGAACTCACACACTTATCCTAGACACATTCTAGATAATGTTTACCGACTTCTTCATAACTCAACTTCTGTCACGAGATGATCTCTTGACACTCCATATGCTTAATGCAATACTGGTCACGATTGCTTCAAGTTCCCCGGAGTTCTTCCAACTCTCCTTATGTCAATACTGGTCACGATCTATTCAAATTACTCACTGGAGAAAAACACCAAAACGATCTTGGTGCCATCAACCGTACTGAACATCCAAATGAATGCAATATGAATGATAAAAGCGCTTGATAAATCACCAAGTAAACATGGAACACTTAATTATTTATCTCAAATAAAAACTCAACTTTCCAAAGTTTATGGATTGAAATATGATCATGAAAGCTCTCAAAAAACAAAGAAGACAAATGTCTTACTTTATAGACTTATTCTTTACAAGAAAGAAAACACGTTGAAACCCAAATCTCCAATTTCTAAGACATAATAGAAAATCACGAAAGTATTTTTCCTATTCTAAAGATTGGTCACATGTAGTCCAACCAATATAGGAAAAGAGATATTTAAGAAAGGAAGATTTTAATCAATCACAATATCAAATGAATCCTTATATGTCTAGTCAACTATTAAGGGTCTTTTGACTCCATGATATTGTGATATGATTGAAACATGATTTCCGAGCAACCAAAACGTGATAGAAAATCAAAGGGATGTTAAAACAAGAAAGTAGGAGAATCAAATTGATTTGGGCCAAAATTGCCTAAAAAGAAAACACTCCCAAATAAACTTCAATTCACTTTTAAAAACAATAAATCAATAAAACGTGATTGAATCATCCTTTAAAACAATTCCCTAATATACATGCATGATAATGATATCACTTACCCTTGAATCAACGTGTCAAGCTACAAGTCTGCGTTTTGAGGATTAATCCTGCCATCGTCAATTATGTCCTTAGACTCTATCAAAGCACCTTTACAGCCTATGCTAGAGTACATGCTAGTGTCTAGGAAATGCCAACACAAATTTCTTACTAACACTCTATCATGGGTCTGTCGACTGGTCACCGGTTTTTCACCGACCAGTGAGGATGTACAGTTTCTTCTCCCTTCAGACTGTATCAGTCATGTAGTACAGAACCTTGTAATCTTGACTATCAACAGAATCCTAGCGGTCACCATTAACATCCGGCCGATGGCTCTTATACAAATAATGTTAATTCTTTTTTGTCAATCTTGGGTGTATTATGCTTTTCATTGATTAGTATACCGTAGACGTAGTATATATGGTCCCGTATCCTGAGTCTTATATTCATTATTTGCATTAACTAATGAAAGGAACTGAACGAGAGCATTAAACCAGTTTGCAGGTGGCAATTGCAACTCAGAGACAGTTGAGCGAAGAAATGGCCATGGGAGGCCAAAATCTCCAAACCCAAAACAGAAAATCCCCGTCATGATCCCAAGCCAAAGACGAAGTAGCAGCAGCACCAGCAGCACAGTATCATCGAACGTTAACGCCCAAACAAAAAACAGTAGCAAAGCAAGAGCAAGAGCGGTCCCAGCAGTAGTTAATCATCATCTCAACCAGAAAGCAGCCGTTGAGTCTGACGGTGACCTCGCAAGATTAAAAAGGTCAGCAAATAATAATAATAATAATAATAATAATATGGTCAATGAAAGTAATAAGGCCAATAATATCGACCAAAAAGATAGAAGCCGTAGTAGTACTAGTGGTGCAGCTGCTGCAGATTTTGTTTCGTCGAGCAGGGCAATGGAGGAAGGAGTGAAAATGGTATATTCAAAAGCAAAGCCAACAACAGCTAGTAGCACAAGCACTAGAAGAGGTGGAGTCTCCATTGTGTCATCGTCGACTCAAATTGCGGCTGGCTTTTGTAACGAAAAACCTCCTCCTAATCTGAGGACAGAACAACGCTCGACATCTGCTAGCACCACACGAGGACGGGGTCTAGCCAGCGCGTCGACGCACCAGATACAGAAAGCAGCTGATCATCATCAACCTGCCGCAAAACTATTACCAAGGAGGCAATCATGCTCACCAAGCGTCTCTAGGGGTCGGAAAGTAGTGGAGGTGCAGGAGGAGACTACTACTACTAGTCTAAAAGGAAGAATTCAATTTCAAACAGGAAATGGAACGCAAGTTTTGGGAAGTAGAATGGTGCAGAGAGTGATGAATGCTAGAAAATCAGTTACTCGTGAATGTCATCATGAAGAAAAAGATCATAAAAAGCCCAATTCACGGTTTCCCATTCAGGAAAGCTCTGGTTTTGGAAGAATATTGCACGGCACGGCACTGCCTAATTAATTTATTAATAGACTACATTATAATATATATATATATATAGCTCTCAAACATAAGTACGTGTATACGAACATATATATGCTTCTTTCTTTCATTTTTCTTTTGGCAATTGAGTTATATAATCCTATTTGTATTTTTGCTTTATTCAATCTTTTAATTAAAAGATGGAATTGAAGTAACATTGCGACTGAAAGAAGCAGAATCCCAGAGCACCACTTCAAAGCGAGGATGTATTTGTTTTCTTTGTTCTTCTAGGCAGAAGAAGCGATATGGTATTATTCCAAGTGAAAAAGTACAAGGGTAATGGAAAATTGAAACTCAAATATTGTTTATTTCATTTGCAGAAAGCTCAAAATGATTTAAACATCCATTTACATTGATTTGTTTTGTTTAAAATTCAAATTGGACCAAGCCATGGCTATTCCAAAGCTCATCATCAACTTCCTAAATTCTAAATGTAGTGAAAAATCCATTTTCATTTATTTGTTTTGTTTTCTTCATCATTATTGTTGTTTCGAAATGTTTAACAAAACAGACACAAAATCTAGGATTCAATTGATTGGGTGAGTGATTTAGCCGCATTGAATATTTTCGTTGACCAATATACATGTTTTGAACATTAAAATCCGTGTATCAATTACGGTGATAAAGTGGGTAATTTGAATATCTGCAACTTAAAAAAGAAATAAGTATTAATTTGAATATCTGCAAAGGCGATGCAAATATTATTAAACTAGAATGTTAGACATATAGGAAGGAAGGGTAGTCCCACAGTGGTGTGGGCATTGGGCAGCGAGCAATAGACTTACCACATTGTCATTGTGTATCATCTTTCTAATATAGAGGTGGAGTCCATTAAATACAATGGGGCTCACCTATATTAAAGAGATGATACGCAATGTAGTATAAAAATATAATAAGCCTTAATATTTTCCTTTAAAATTAAATAATAGAAAAGAGAAAGAGAAAGATATGCTACAACTTGTAGCTACCGTACATACTAGGGATGAGAAGATGGGTCATGTCACTACCAATGACAGGACCCGTCCCGAATTTCTCGAAACCCGGGACGAATTCTGTGAAAATTCTGGCATCACACCAATGTTGGGCCCACTCACTAAAACTGTAACCACTTTTTCCAAAAAGAGGTAAGGGCACGAGACTTTCTGCCGAAAATTCGACAGAGTCTCTCCTATAAATTGAATATTTTCCAAAAATTTCAACATGCATAAAACACATTTAACAACACCAACCGACAACATGCACAATATAGTCTCATGCACTTCACATAATCGGCCTCCGGCCTTCAAATATTCCGAAACCAAACTACAAACAAAGCTCTTGAGCCAAATAATACTTTAAATAAGGCAATTACTAAACTTAAACATAATTATGAAAGCTGGATGCAAATTTACATCATCTAACTTTCCCAATTTCAACATACGAGGTTTTAACCTCCTAACACAATCACATCTCGTTCTCACCCAAATTTCAGGACCAACGACAAGGTCAGGTTTAACCCTAGGCTGCCTACATACCCTCCCCGAGGGATCAAGCCACACGTAGTTTTTTCCCTAAAACCCCTTACTTTAAGTCACAACTCACCGAACCATATCTTTAATTTATCTCCCTAATAATCACATAATCTCCCCATACGCCAGAACATCCAACGCCATGTATGAGGTCTGTCAACACGTCGAAAAATCCAACGTCACGTGTGACCTCTCATCTCATATCACATAATCTCCCCATACGCCGGAACATCCAACGCCACGTGACAGACACGTTGGAAAATCCAACGCCACGTGTGATCTCATATCACATAATCTCCCCATACACCGGAACATTCAACGCCACGTATGAGGTCTGTTAACACGCCGGAAAATCCAACGCCACGTGTGACCTCTCATCTCATATCACATAATCTCCCCATACGTCGGAACATCCAACGTCACGTGACAGACACGCCGGAAAATCCAACGCCACATGTGACCTCTCATCTCATATCACATAATCTCCCCATACACCGGAACATCCAACGCCACATATGGGATCTGTCAACAGGCCGGAAAATCCAATGCCACATGTGACGTCAACATCATAGCATGGTACTTACACAATGTAATCAAACATCTTTATATCTTATATATATATATATATTTCCCCCAATAAATAATAATAATATTCATTTCCGTTTTCCCCTAGTTTAAGACAATAACTAATACCATAATCCCACCATATCAACATAACTCAACTAATGCTCAAGACCTGTCCCTATGGTCATTTTAATCCTCCTATGAAGGTAAAACTACCCCGAAAGACCCACGGTGAACCAAGGGTCAAGCTACCCAAACATGGTCAAATAGGCCCACGGAGCCCACGGCCTCCAAATTCCAATCTGAAAGTTCCTATGTGTTCTACAAGACTCAGGACACACATCCTGCAAGTTTAGCTTAGATCGGACGGTCGAATCGCTAACAATTGCACGATCAGACGGCTACTATAACCCTAGCCCTAGGATTGGCATTTCCAGAGTATCCGGGACTACGTTTTACGATCCGTCGATTCCTACACGATCCTAAGGATGTCCAGATCATCATACTTTAACTTCAAGACCATCCAATTGTTCAAACCTATTGAACCCGGATAACGCACAATAGGGGAAATCCGTTCAATACCCAAACGGTATCCAAATTTAAATCTGAGCACACCTACGCATTCGTAAGGACTAGGAGATCACCTCGGGACATCATGCCCCTTTTCTACAGTGCCCACGTATCGCCACACGAGCCTGCATCGCGTGGGTGTCCAAAGCGATAACCCATCGCCCGAAAAACCCAAAATCAAGGCTCAAGACTCCTACCATAGGTGTAACACCCTAATTTGAGTCACTTTTGTTCTTGGGCATACCCCAAAAACTGACCAGAAGTGGCCAAAATCTTATCCCGAAATTCGGCCGAAATCCAATTCGAAAATCAGACAACCCTAGCCAAAAATTAATGCAATCATATCCAACCATCAGCTAGATCATGAAGAAATGATGAATTTTTATACCTTGATCGCCAAAAATGGCGGCTGGATGAGAGATATTGAAGCCGACGAAGTTTCGAGCAAAAACCGGGCATTTCTCTTCGTTTTTCTGGCGAAATCACGGTGAGGCCTGGCTGGGGTTGGAAGAGGATGGTGCCGAATAAGAGAACGGCTATCCAAAACGTGGCCAACTGTGCTGCCATCGCGAGAGAGAGAGAGAGAGAGAGAGAGAGAGAGAGAGAGAGAGAGAGAGAGAGAGAATCAGATTTTTATGAAACCCTTTTTGCCAAAATTACGGTTATGCCACTAAGGGTATTTTGATCGTATCTCTCTCGTTACAACTCCAATTCGAGCTCACTACGTGTCTACGAACTCATCTCGCTATGCTCTACACAACGGTACAGTCGAAATTCCCAAATTTCTTACAGTAAAAAAGTCAACTTTAAAACCAATAAATATTCTAGGGGCAAAATGATCTTTTATCTGAATAAATTAATATTTACCAATTTATTTAGGACCTGGTCGTTACAACCATGGTCTAAAATATCGCTGATATCGGAAATATCGGTAGTCCAAAAATATGAAAATTTCGATGGAAATAATAAGGATATTATTGATATCGATAAAAATTGAATAAAATCCATGGAAATTGTAAGAAAAACTTGAAAATTTTTATTGAAACTTTGGAGAATGTTTATTTAGTCAATTATCTATTATTTTATCACAAAAAATTAGAAGGAAATGCATTGCATGATGGATTTAACTGATTTAAGTTGATTATACAATGAGCTGTCAAGCACTGTGAATGTAGAAAATATGTAGTAATTAATGAAAGAAGATTAAACACACCATAATCATTTATATATAATGATTTACTATAATATTTTACACTTCAAACATTGCATGGTAAGATACATGAGTGACTTAGTACCACATACAGTTCCTATGAGGTTCAAATTTTTCACTATTTTCATCATCTCTATGAGTAGAGTAAGTGTATTGTGAAGAGTAGTGATCAAATGATAAATCTCCAAAATAGTTTTGTATGTAATTGTTAACATGTCACCCATATAAATATAAATATTTTAGCATATATCACAAAAACATAAGTGATACGGTGATTAAGGTGTCGGATGAGTAAAATGAGAGGGGTTTAAGTCCCCTTTGTGTTTTTTTCTCTCCATTTTTCCCTTTTTTTCTTCTTTTTTTTCCTTTCTTTTTTCTTCCCTTTACATCGATATTTTCAATATTTTCGATATTTTTGCGATACTACACCGATATTTTGACAAAATATTACTGAAATGTGAGCAAAATTATTGACATCGATATTTTCCGATATTATCGTCGATATTTATACAATATGTACATGGATATGTTCCGAAATATCCGTGATTCGAAAACCGAAATATCCTCGATATTTCATCGATATTATCGATATTTCATACTATGGTTAGAACTAACATCACATACTCCAATTTCTGAAATTAAAATGAGATGGGATGGGGGCCCGGAGGAGGGAAGATAAACTCTCATGCAACGGGGATAATATTTTTTGCTATTCCCGACCAATAACACAATCAGAGGCGAAGACAGTAATTTAAATAAGAGGGGGCACCCTTAAAAATTCAAACATTTTCTTTTATGACAAATCAACCTAGTTTTTAAGAAATCCCTAATTCTCTATTTTTTTTTCTTTATTTTTTGAATGAATAACCTATCACTCTTTTATGATAACAAATACATGCAATTCAAAAGAACTTTAGACATGAGAATGAAAGAGAAGCAAAGAAAATAGTGGACATTTAAGAATTTGTGAGGAATTTTATAATATTTTTACAATATCACTAACATATAATTGTTTATACAATAATATTTGAGAGGGGGCGATGCCCACCCTGGGCATGCATTGGCTCCGTCAGTGAACACAATGACACATAAGATAACGTTTCCACATGTAATTGTGTTATTGGTAG